CAGATATTAATCCAAACATTTATGGTCAATTAATATATGATAAAGGAGCCATGGATATACAATGGGGAAATGACAGTCTCTTCAACAGATGGTGCTGGCAAAACTGGACAGCTACATGTAAGAGAATGAGACTGGATCACCATCTAACCCCATAAACAAAAGTAAATTCGAAATGGATCAAAGACCTGAATGTAAGTCATGAAACCATAAAACTCTTAGAAAAAGACATAGGCAAAAATCTCTTGGACATAAACATGAGTGACTTCTTTGTGAACATATCTCTCTGGGCAAGGGAAAGAAAAGCAAAAATGAACAAGTGGGACTATATCAAGCTGAAAAGCTTCTGTACAGCAAAGGACACCATCAACAGAACAAAAAGGTATCCTACAGTATGGGAGAATATATTAATAAATGACAGATCTGATAAAGGGTTGACATCCAAAATATATAAAGAGCTCATCCACCTCAACAAACAAAAAGCAAATAATCCAATTTAAAAATGGGCAGAGGAGCTGAACAGACAGGTCTCCAAAGAAGAAATTCAGATGGCCAACAGACACATGAAAAGATGCTCCACATCGCTTGTCATCAGAGAAATGCAAATTAAAACCACAATGAGATATCACCTCACACCAGTAAGGATCACCACCATCCAAAAGACAAACAACAACAAATGTTGGCGAGGTTGCGGAGAAAGGGGTACCCTCCTACACTGCTGGTGGGAATATAAATTAGTTCAACCATTGTGGAAAGCAGTATGGAGGTTTCTCAAAAAGCTGAAAATAGAAATACCATTTGACCCAGGAATTCCACTTCTAGGAATTTACCCTAAGAATGCAGCACTCCAGTTTGAAAAAGACAGGTACAACCCTATGTTTATTGCAGCACTATTTACAATAGCCAAGTAATGGAAGCAACCTAAGTGTCCATCAATAGATGAATGGATAAAGAAGATGTGGTACATATACACAATGGAATATTATTCAGCTATAAGAAAACAGATCCTACCATTTGCAACAATATGGATGGAGCTAGAGGGTATTATGCTCAGTGAAATAAGTCAGGTGGAGTAAGACAAGTACAAAGTGATTTCACTCATATGTGGAGTATAAGAACAAAGAAAAACTGAAGGAACAAAACAGCAGCAGAATCACAGAACCCAAGAATGGACTAACAGTTACCAAAGGGAAAGGGACCGGGCAGGAGGGGTGGGAAGGGAGGGATAAGGGCAGGGAAAAAGAAAGGGGGCCTTACGATTAGCATGTATAATGTTGGGGGGGAGCGCATAGGGAGGGATGTGCAACACAGAGAAGACAAGTAGTGAGTCTACAGCATCTTACTATGCTGATGGACAGTGACTGTAAGGGGTTTGTGGGGGCGACTTGGTGAAGGGCGACCTGGTAACCATAATGTTCTTCATGTAATTGTAGATTAATGATAATAAAATGAATTAAAAAAAGTATATTGTACATAGTTTTCCATGCCAACATCCCATATTTTTCAATGGCTGAACAATATATACTCTGTGGATAAATAAAATACCACGTAACTCCAAGTAGCAGTTATTTTCTTTTACACTTTATAAATAAAGTAGTATGATAAAGTATTAGGGTGAAGATTCTTATGTGTTCATCTCTGTCAAATACATCTTGTATTCCACAGATTACTGTCCATGTAATCACTGGATAAAAAAGTACTTACTGTTTAATAGACTCCTCTTATCCATTATGTATACAACCAATCACTTCATCCTGCCAATTCTATCTTCTGGGTAACCTCTCAAATATCTAAAAAATGTCTCCTCTTCTCCATCTGCACAACCACTATTCAAGTTCAAGCTGACATCACCTCTTGTCTAGATTATTTCAACAGCCAACTGCTTCCTTGCTCAGTTTTCTCCACCTGTATTCCACTTTCCCCTACTAAAATGTACATCTTTCTAAAATGCACATCTGGCCTAAGCCTTTTCAATGGTCCTCACTGCTCATAAGATGAATTCTAAGCTTCTGAACATGCTTGGAAGTCCCTTAATAATCTATACCCTGAATATACCTACTATTTTATCTCCTGTCTATTGCTTCTTTCTATGCTAAAGCTATAGGCAACTGCTTTCAGCTACCTGTGTCACCTTTCCTGATCTCACTTCTTGAGCTCTGTAATATTCCTGTCATTGCCTTTACCTCACACCTATTTGCCCTTTAAACTGATTATATCAGAAACATTTTTTTCTTCAAATCTGAGTTAGAGGACTTAACTGTGTACATAATAAACATAATACTTTTCACCAAAAATTGGATATACATGCACAGTAACATTTTTTTCAAAAACTGCATTTCTATAAATCCAGCCAGTCTTTCAAATGACACATGAAAAAAAGATATACATATAATAATGGTCACATAATATTAATAATATATCAATATTTTCTGCTTAATGTTAGTTGATTCCTGATGATCAGGTATATTGCATAAAAATATTGAGAGCCTATTCTTCACTATAACACATCACAGGTTAAATCTAAAACCCCATAACATTCTTAAAATATAATTAAAGCATAGCATAATATATCTGTAAGTAAATAATAAACTATCATGTTAAGATGTAAAATGCTTGTAATGATGTCTTCAGATCACCAAATACATATCAAACACTTCCGTGACTTAAATAATTATAAACATTTTTAGGCATGCATCCTAAAATAGGCACATATCTTAAATGTCACATACGGCATTATGTAGCAAAAACATGCTACCTAAGACAATTATCAACTATGTCACAAAAAATAGAATGTTTTGGGTACAAGGCAGTTGAATTCAATGGGGCATGAACAGTTAAGATTATGACCTGCTATTCTGATCTATGTTTGTGTTAAGCAACAGAGTCTGAAAAAAGTTGATGAAAAGGTACATAATTATCTGATCCTGCAGCTCACAGATTAAATCTCTAGCAGCCAGATGTCCTACTTCTCTCTCTTGCCTTTTCTAAAAGGCAATCTGGTAATACAGGTTCTTGTCCCTTCACAATTCCCTCCTGCCACCTCAGTGTTAAATAAACCAAATATGTCTCCAAGGCTTGCTTCAGTGTCGGTATACTTTGATTTCAGACTTGCTCAGTCCAAACAAAACTAACCATTCCATTTGATGATGACAGAAATTTAGAGACACCATATGTTTCACCCGTAAAAAGCAAATCATTCTTTATGTACATTATCCTCAATAATCCAGTAAGACGAGTGTTACATTCATTCTGTCTGTGAAATAGCTAAGGGCCGAATTGTTTTTTGGATAATGAAAGATTAAAATTAGGCAAATTTTGATTACTTGAAAAGGGAAAAGTTTACTGCTGAGGAAGTTAAGGGCACTGTACTGAGAAGGGGAAAATAGAAGTACTGAATGAAAACGTAGGACCGGACACTAGTGTCCAGGCTCGACTTTGATTATTTATAATTGAACAAACAGGAGACTACAGAAAATATGTATAATGAATCACAGTAAGGATAATTCTGCTTCAAGAAAGACAGATTCTTGAAAATACTATAGACTTCATTATAAAGATAATTTAAGCACAAGGAATGTGTTAGTTAAAATATGATAACAGAAGTTGCAAGGCTATGTATACACAGCTTCCTTGAGGTACATCAAACCTACTTTGGTTACAATGGTGCCCCATTCCAACAAATTTAAGAGTGCCAAAACTAACATAAAGCATAAATTGAAGGTTATAGTTTGCCTTAAAGGAGTTTTGCATGGGTATTTTTTAAAAAGAATGCATTTACCTGTTATTTAAAAAGTTTCAATAGGATTCAATTTGAAATGTGACTTGTACAAAACACATTAGAAACATATTACAAAAAGCATCAATTGTCTTATCCAGAAATGAGAACTTGAAAATATATACTCTTCTCCTTTCACACACTAATCTCTATAGTTTTGTTCTCTATGATTAATCCAACAAGAGCAACCAGCTCTGATGGACTTTGAAATTTATCTAAAGCATAATCTGATGAAACTTTTACCTAAATGATTTTATAGAATCAAAATTATGTGCTTATTAAGTATAAGGTAAAGAAAAGCCTAAGGCTAATCAAGATTTAAAAAGAGCATGGGGAAAGGTATCTTTCAAAATATCTCTTCTGAAAGAGACTTAATCAATACATAATTTATTGCACTTAAATGCTTAATTGGATAAAACTAGAATAGTGGTTAGATTTTGCAAAAAGACATACTTTACGTTCTTGTCAATAACTAAGTGCTTTGGGAGATGAGCCAAGGCTACAATAAATCACTGCCTTATCAATCTAAATTTCAGTATTCATTATAATTCATACAGTAAAGTGTTTGACGAAAGGTCAAATACTCACCAATGTTTTGCTGTGACCTGGCTCAGACTGATAACTTCGTCGAGGATTTCATTTTTAGCTTTTTCAAATAGTTCATTCTAGGCAATAAAGACACAAGTAAGTGAGACTTTCAGAAGATAGTTTGCCCTGCCAAGATTTTCAAAAGCGACTACAAGGAAGGCCTCTGACAGGTTAGTAAGGCTGAGCATAGGTTCGACGCATGCATGACCAGCAAATAATGTTCTTCTCCTCTAGTCCCTGTTGTAGGAATGCCAATATCCAGAAAACGACAAAGAAACTGAGCCAAGTGTCTACTTTTTTCACTCAATGCTCAGTACAATTTTTTATATATTTGTTCAGATAAATTTTTCACATAACAAATATCATGTGAAAGTATTGATACACATTAATTTAGTGTACTGGTTAGAATAAATTGATGCTGTGATTTATAACTGATGGCCATTTAAATCAAGAAAAACCAATATTTAAGCCTCACTAAATTAGGGGTGTATTTCTCCATGGTAAATGTTGAAAAGGTTAAAAAGTTGATGTGTAATTTTAAAAAATTTATATTACATAAATATATTAATTCTAAAGACCTCTAAAGAATATTCTTCACTTTTCAGAAAACATTTTTAAACACTTGTTTTGACATTCTTGCACCTTAACTAGTTCTTAATGTTATGTAATACATAATTTAAATTATTGTAGATGAGATAAGTACTCTTGGAAATATATTCTTGCAGCTCTAAATTATGATCATGGTCAAAACCAAAGCAATTTAGCTTACCAGATTTCACTCATTGACATGAAATTTATTAGAGAACAATGTTAAATAAGATACATACAAAATGCATGAGGTATACAAATATTACCCGGTCAAGTTCTCGCAGGCGAGGATAGTTATTTTTCCACTCAGTTTCAAGGTTAAAACGTGTTGCTAAAAAAAAAGAAAGATGTTTAAGATGGGGGATTCTCTTTCTTTCTAGATATAAAGGTCATCTCACATATCTTCTGTGCTAACTAATGTTTGGAGTACATACCTATGACTCCTGACTATTTTGGTCTCTCAAGATCTCAGAATGTCATTCTTGCAATAGCTTTCCAAACTAATCTCCTTAACTCTAGTTTCTCCACTTTCAGTCCCCAAAAAACACAGCTGAAACAGTTTAGTACAGGTACTAAGAGCATGGACCATCATGATTCAAGTCCTGGATCTATTATCTTTTGCTTTTGCTGTGTGACACTGGGTATATTACATAGGAAGTTACTCAGTACATCAGTTGCCTCTTCTGTAAAATGGGAACAGTAATAATACAAGGTTGCTGACGGGCTAAAACAAATATGTAGGATCTGCAAATGTAGTTGAGTTATCAAAGACATGGAACAGGAAGTGTGGGATTCAGGAACTAGTACAATGTAGCAGAAGCACAGGCTGCCCTGCTTCCCAACATGTTTCCTCTCTTCCCCCAAAAAGGGGGAGTCTGAGTTCTCTACAGTTAAGTAATCCCTTACTCCCAAACACTACTACAAACTTTCTAATCTGTTTAAGCTCTGCAATGTGCTCCTTGCAGTGTTACCTGATAGGGCTAATCTATTCTTGTAAAACTGAGTATTTGTAATTTTTCCACTTTCCACATCCTATCAAACAGTAAATGAACTAAAAAAGAAATTGTTAAAGCAAGGGAATAAAGAATCTGATGGATGCCTAAGATTGCCAGCTAATAAAATGTCTAAATTTGTTAGCTTATTTTAAAAATCCAACTTACCTTTGAAACTATCAGCCTGTTGTTCAACTGACTCTCGTACCATTTTCCAAAAGCAGTCTGATACAGCCAGGCTTAAGTTCCGTGTAGTCACTTGGTGTGCCTTTAACATGCTTGTCCTGTAAAAAATAAGTAGAGCTATATATTAAAATGGCAAAAGGGACAATACTATTACCAAGTCTGAGATTGTGCTTGTTATGATAACAATGAAACAGCCTCCTAGACATTTTATACTAGCACCATCAAACTTTCTGTAATGAAGATAGTGTTCTGGATATGCATCATCCAATATGGTAGCTACCTGCCACATGGGGCTCCTGAGCCCTTGAAACGTGACTGGTGTAAGTGAGCAACTGAATGTTTTAATTTTATTGAATGTTAACTAATTTAAATTTAAATAACCACACAAGACTAGTGACTACTATATTAGACAGCACAGTTCTATATACCTGTCAGCTCCAAACCAACAGATATTGCTCAAGACTATGTTTGCAAGAACTGCCTTGATGTACTGTACTAATAAGCTGCAAACATACTTTTCCATTTCAAGAGACTCTCCACGTATAAAGTTTTAATAAAATTCAGTTGCCCTTTAGCTCTTTTTGCTTTTCTATAGGTATCTTCTGTTGATTTCTGTTGATATTTATTTAGGGATACCTCTCTGACATCCCCCCTCCCAATTCTAACTTTCCTCAATACTGTAAGAGAAATGTGTACACATATTTAAAAATATAAGTGCTGGTTTCTAAAAGTCACTTTATAAGTAAAACAACTTAAGAGGTGCCCATGTTGTCTTTCAGTGCCCCTATCCCAAAGGGCAGTTTATCATATCAGCATGTATTGTTCCATGTGAAACTGTCCCCAGTTCTGTCACAGCAGCTTGAAGGCTTCCTTACTAGATACACATCAATATTTGGTAAAGTTTTTGGAAATTCAATGTTAAACCAACAGCTATAAAACAAAGTTTTAAGTGAAAACAATTTTAAATGACTCCTTCACTATAAAATCTTTAAACATTTAAATAAGATACCTACTTTAGGAGTTTTGAATTCTGAAAAAATTCTTCTTCATATTCTCTTATAGCTTCAATGCTCTCAGAGCTGTTTCCTAAGGGAAAATGATGGTGAATTTCTCATTAAGAAAACTAACCCATATTATTTGAAAACAACAAGAATGATAATAATCCATCTTTCATACCTTTCCCTGTTACGACAGCAAAATAACCTAGAGCTTTCATTGGGAAGAGCTTCCCTTCGATTATCTGCTGAATCTGTTTTACAAGTGGGAAAAAAGTAGGAAAGATGAACATGAGGTTTGGGTTTATATAATTTTTCAAATCATACTATTTAAAAAGCAAACTTAAATGCTGTATATGTATATATTTAGTTAAATATATAAATCTGTACAAAAATGTTAAAATGTTATTTAAGAAAAAAATACATTTAATTTTACTATATTAAAGAGTATCTTTCTAAAATATAAGTGCCCAAATTGAAACCTAGGGTGATGTGTAGTGCTTTGGAGTCAGGCCTTACTTTGAATTTCTGCTCTGCCACTTACTAGCTATGTGGCCTTAAGTAAGCTACTTAATTTTTCAAAATGGTTGTTGAAAAGATTATATGAGATATGATACCTAACACAGTGCTAGGCATGAAGAGGCACTCAATAAGTGATAGCTGCTATTATTATTTCCCCATACTCTTCAAATATTTAAATTCTAACCAGGTCAGACTGTGTTTTTGCTTTTTGTTTGTTTGTTTGTCTGTTTATCTATTTATTTATTATTTTATTTTGGTATCATTAATCTATAATTACATGAGCATTATGTTTACTAGACTGCCCCCATCGTCAAGTCCCCACCACATACCCCATTATAGTCACCGTCCATCAGCATAGTAAGATGCTATAGAATCACTACTTGTCTTCTCTGTGTTGTACAGCCCTCCCCATGCCCCCCTCTACATTATGTCTGCTAATAGCAATGCCCTTTTTTTCCCCTTATCCCTCCCTTCCCACCCAACCTCCGTAGTCTCTTTCCCTTTGGTAACTGTTAGTCCATTCTTGGGTTCTGTGAGACTGCTGCTACTTTGTTCCTTCAGTTTTTTTCTTTGTTCTTATGCTCCACATATGATTGAAATCATTTGATACTTGTCTTTCTCCACCTGGCTTATTTCACTGAGCATAATACTCTCTAGCTCCATCCATGTTGTTGCAAATGGTAGGATTTGTTTTGTTCTTATGGCTGAATAATATTCCATTGTGTATATGTACCACATTTTCTTTATCCATTCATCTACTGATGGACACTTAGGTTGCTTCCATTTCTTGGCTATTGTAAATAGTGCTGCAATAAACATAGGGGTGCATATGTCTTTTTCAAACTGGGCTGCTGCATTCTTAGGGTAAATTCCTAGGAGTGGAATTCCTGGGTCAAATGGTATGTCTATTTTTGAGTGGAGTGTTTTTTTTAACACTCCTACCCCCTTAAAAAATATTTGGATCCATTGGTTCTTAACTCTTTTGGGTCAAAAATCGTTTTCTAAATGTAATAAAAGCTATAGGCTCTGTCCCCAGAAAAATGCACATTTGCATAAAGAGCTATCATTCACACATAGGTCTAAGAGTTCCTACTCCCTGAAGCCCATTCAGATTCACACTGACAGAAATGTCCCTCCTCTAAGACAAGTTACATCCCTAAGCGAATGCTGAATCTTTGGTATAAAAAAGGACTGACAAAAGGCTCAATTATATTCAGTATAAAAAAGAAATGATATAAACTAATTACATTTCAAAAAAAAAGTACAAACTTACTATCCTAGAGAAGAGGAGAAAGAAATGAAAGGAATGGAGAGAGATGAAAAGGAGGCACAGAAATTTGCTTCTGCCTCCCTTCTCCCTTCTCCATATGAGGAACAATACTGCCACAGTAGGCCTTTCCCTTAAAAATAAGACAAGCAAAGGTCATGGGGGCTGTGCAGAAAAGAGTTAACATAGCAGGCCTGGAATTGCTGTCCACAGAAAGGCCTGTTTGTCTTCGGCTGGCATCTAGGAACTCAACTGGTAAACAATTCCCTACACTGACACAAAACTTTCCCTAAATAACAGTAGCTTATTGTGCAAGCAATATAGTTTATGCTGAACATCTGAATTTCTCTGGGTGTCCGGAATTCTGATACTTGAGGGTGTCTATATGACCAGCCCCCAGTAGAAACCTTAGGTGCTGAGACTCTAAAGTGCAACATGTTGCTGGTAGGAATCGACTTGCTCCTGAGAGGACTCTTGGACTCCTGAGCATGGTTTCCTCCAGACATCTGCTCTTGCACCTTTTCCCTTTGTGATTGTGCTTTGTATCCTACACTGTAATAAATCTTACGTGAAAGAATGACCATGTGCTAAGTCTCCTGAGTTCTCTTAAAGATCAGTGAACTAGGGGTGGTCTGTCTTGGGAACCCCTAACACAGAGGAATAGTTCTAGAAAGTTTCAGATGGAAAGGAGAGAAATTCTAAGCAGCAGCATGAGGGATGGGCACTGTGTCTGAAGTTACTCTATGGGGGGCAAAGATGTAGTAGATCCAGGATTTGAGATCAAGCAATCTCACTACAGATTCTGCACTCTTAACCACTACTTTACTTTATTTATACCCTTATACATATACCTTTATTAAGTAGAGAGCATGCCCTAAGTCAAGACTTGCACCCTAGTTAGACTTAACACACAATTGTACCTTGAAATCTTTTTCCTTGTTATGGGAGGAGTAGAGGAGGGACACTGAACACCATGTAGAGAAGTCACAGAATTTCAAAAATGAAAACGACCCTAGAGATCAACTAGACTAATAGGTTGGATTGTGCACTGAGCAGATGCACAAAAGTAACAAGATCTGCCCAAGGACATATAGCCAGCTGGTGGGGTATGGATAAGAATGCTGAGGCCTGATTCCCAATCCAAAGCCTTCTCTATTATAAAAATCTGCTATACAATCTTTGCTCAGATAGGAAAAAAAAAATTAAAAAAATAAACTGGCATATATAAGGTCCAAAAGGAATCTATATTATCATTAGCTATACACTAATTTATGAACATCAACTAAAAAATATTTTTTTAAAGAAATACATAAATGAGGTTAATGACTGTACATTAGCAACAAGATTAAACAACAGCAACAGTTTGTGTTTCTGAAACTAACTATAATTATGGAATTCCACTTATACCTTAAAATTGTACTTAAGTAATTTACTGTAACTTTCCAATATTTTAGTTTCAATGAAAGCCAAGAAAAATCCCACTACTGTAAGAGTTCCACAAGGAATTGTTTTCTTTACAACAAGTCCCTGTCACAGTTGGAGCTTATACAAAGAATCTTTTCTCTCAGAATAAAGAACTTGCCCTCACCCTACTTGGACTAGCCACATTTTTCTCTGCCAAGTCTACTTTGGTCAAAACAAATATCGTCCTTCTTCCATGAGGATCCATTTGACTGACTAAGTCTGTAACAATGCTGCGTTCAGCATCCACTGATCCATCTGAAAAAAATTGAAATGATACTGTAACAATTGCAAAGTAGATCTTTAAAACTTCCACAAGCTATACCTTATGTCTATATTAGAGTAAGAACATCTTTCTTAATACCTTTATCTTAGCTAAAAAAAGAAATTCTAGCCAATAAAAATTGCTATGTCTACAGTGAAATTCATTAAAATATTCCTAACTTCTTCAATTCTATTTACTAATCGATGAGTAAGAGGAGAAGGTAAAACATATTTATCTTGTACACTTATATTTAGAGCTTACATTGCTTAAGAAGGAAGCATTTCAGTGCAATTAAAATCTTTTGATAAGATTTACCTTGGATACATAGTATGATGGCGTTAGGATTCTGCATATAAGCTTTGCTGATACTGAAAATGGTTTCCTTTGTGTCAGGAGCCATGCCTGATGTCACAGTCTTGAAGAAAAAGGTTTTAAATGTCATTATAAATGTTTCCCATACTATGAATAAAAGACATGTTTTGTATATACTTACATTAATCACACCTGGTAAGTCAACAAGCACCATCCTCTGTAGTCCTGGACCTTTTACGTTTAAGGATATGGTCTACTCAGGGAAAAAAAGCAAAACACAAAATTTTTAGAGGCAATTTCTTGGGAATTTTTTGATGAGATATATTCTGAAAATTCTCTATTTCATCCATTTTGGATATGGTGCTGAGTTATTAAGTTACTAAGGAAAAGTTACTCTTTTCTGATCCTAAAAGTAATTATTCTAGAAAATTACCCACAAAATGATACACTATTTGGAATAGTGAAAAAAAAACCCTATGTATTTTGGAACAGCTGCAATCTAGACATCAATGCCAATACCATGGTTTATTTCAAATCATAAAAATTGGATTTCAATAAAACATTATTGAGATGAATTATAACACTCACCTCAGGGCTAACAGTGCAGCCTTCTTTCACATTTTTCCTCATTCGAAGTTCTATTTCATGTCTTAATGCTGCAAGCTATGAAAGGAAAACAAAATTCTAAGAAAATCTTCAGTTAAATAATCCATTTAATTGTCTCTTTGAAGTTACACAGATTACAAAGTTAACACATGAGCTTCACATGAATTCTACTTACATCTTCCTCTTTGGTAAGATCAAACTCTCGAGAACTATCTTTAAACAAGGCCACATGGTGAGGACCTTCACTCAGAGTCACCTGAAATGAACAGAAATTAAGATGTAATAATGCATTTACAATTCTTAATTCCCATAGCACTTATATGGTCTAGAGGGGGCCACTGCACTGCACGAATCCAGGTATCTCTTTATACTATACATCAGGAGCATCCCCAGGGGCTGTCATCATGGCAACTCAAAAATCCACAGAATTTTGTCTATATTGTCCATACATCTGTCACCTGTGTTGTAATTTCCCAGCAATACTGCCAGCTATTTAGTATCTTTCAATACCTAAAATGTTGTGCCCCTCTCATTTCCCAGTCAATGTTATACAGAGTATGGAGCACAAACACATCAATTTAAAACTTCTAAAAGAAAAATCTGACATTTAACTTCAAAGGTAAATTTAGGTAAGGGATGATTAATTTATCCAACATCCATTTATCAGGAGTAACTGTGTCACGTGTTGTAGGAGAACAAACATGAAGAACTAACTTTTTCTCTTATCAAAGCATGATATGATATGTAGTCAGTTCATTTTCTGTTTTTCCTAAATTGGAAGTATCTCAAATGCCCACCTAATAGTAAAGTGGATCTATAAAGTTTAGTACAGTTGCACAATACCACCGAGCAATGAAAAAGCAGCAAGTCTTATGCAGCACAGTTGAGTTCAGTCAGACATTCACTACACTCAAACAGTGAACTTTAAAGAACTTGCCCTCACCCTACTTGGACTAGCCACATTTTTCTCTGCCAAGTCTACTTTGGTCAAAACAAATATCGTCCTTCTTCCATGAGGATCCATTTGACTGACTAAGTCTGTAACAATGCTGCGTTCAGCATCCACTGATCCATCTGAAAAAAAATTGAAATGATACTGTAACAATTGCAAAGTAGATCTTTAAAACTTCCACAAGCTATACCTTATGTCTATATTAGAGTAAGAACATCTTTCTTAATACCTTTATCTTAGCTAAAAAAAGAAATTCTAGCCAATAAAAATTGCTATGTCTACAGTGAAATTCATTAAAATATTCCTAACTTCTTCAATTCTATTTACTAATCGATGAGTAAGAGGAGAAGGTAAAACATATTTATCTTGTACACTTATATTTAGAGCTTACATTGCTTAAGAAGGAAGCATTTCAGTGCAATTAAAATCTTTTGATAAGATTTACCTTGGATACATAGTATGATGGCGTTAGGATTCTGCATATAAGCTTTGCTGATACTGAAAATGGTTTCCTTTGTGTCAGGAGCCATGCCTGATGTCACAGTCTTGAAGAAAAAGGTTTTAAATGTCATTATAAATGTTTCCCATACTATGAATAAAAGACATGTTTTGTATATACTTACATTAATCACACCTGGTAAGTCAACAAGCACCATCCTCTGTAGTCCTGGACCTTTTACGTTTAAGGATATGGTCTACTCAGGGAAAAAAAGCAAAACACAAAATTTTTAGAGGCAATTTCTTGGGAATTTTTTGATGAGATATATTCTGAAAATTCTCTATTTCATCCATTTTGGATATGGTGCTGAGTTATTAAGTTACTAAGGAAAAGTTACTCTTTTCTGATCCTAAAAGTAATTATTCTAGAAAATTACCCACAAAATGATACACTATTTGGAATAGTGAAAAAAAAACCCTATGTATTTTGGAACAGCTGCAATCTAGACATCAATGCCAATACCATGGTTTATTTCAAATCATAAAAATTGGATTTCAATAAAACATTATTGAGATGAATTATAACACTCACCTCAGGGCTAACAGTGCAGCCTTCTTTCACATTTTTCCTCATTCGAAGTTCTATTTCATGTCTTAATGCTGCAAGCTATGAAAGGAAAACAAAATTCTAAGAAAATCTTCAGTTAAATAATCCATTTAATTGTCTCTTTGAAGTTACACAGATTACAAAGTTAACACATGAGCTTCACATGAATTCTACTTACATCTTCCTCTTTGGTAAGATCAAACTCTCGAGAACTATCTTTAAACAAGGCCACATGGTGAGGACCTTCACTCAGAGTCACCTGAAATGAACAGAAATTAAGATGTAATAATGCATTTACAATTCTTAATTCCCATAGCACTTATATGGTCTAGAGGGGGCCACTGCACTGCACGAATCCAGGTATCTCTTTATACTATACATCAGGAGCATCCCCAGGGGCTGTCATCATGGCAACTCAAAAATCCACAGAATTTTGTCTATATTGTCCATACATCTGTCACCTGTGTTGTAATTTCCCAGCAATACTGCCAGCTATTTAGTATCTTTCAATACCTAAAATGTTGTGCCCCTCTCATTTCCCAGTCAATGTTATACAGAGTATGGAGCACAAACACATCAATTTAAAACTTCTAAAAGAAAAATCTGACATTTAACTTCAAAGGTAAATTTAGGTAAGGGATGATTAATTTATCCAACATCCATTTATCAGGAGTAACTGTGTCACGTGTTGTAGGAGAACAAACATGAAGAACTAACTTTTTCTCTTATCAAAGCATGATATGATATGTAGTCAGTTCATTTTCTGTTTTTCCTAAATTGGAAGTATCTCAAATGCCCACCTAATAGTAAAGTGGATCTATAAAGTTTAGTACAGTTGCACAATACCACCGAGCAATGAAAAAGCAGCAAGTCTTATGCAGCACAGTTGAGTTCAGTCAGACATTCACTACACTCAAACAGTGAACTCACTACAGACTGGGAGAAATAGACAGGTTTAGAACTCACTATAGTCTGGAAGAAATATACAGCAATACCAGGACAGTGTAGCAAAACCAACAGTGTCCTAGAAGAGAGCTGTACTGACTACATGGGGGCTAAGGGAGCTTTCACCCAAGGGGTGACATCTAAGCAAGAAGTTCTCTAACAACAACTTATATGTTAACAGTCAGTGGTTTCCTGAGAACTTCTAAACTTCACATTCCTTAACTTTTCAATTGTAACTTTTCAAGCTTTTCTATAATGATACAATTTCACTTTTAAAATTTAATTCCTTCTACTGCAGATGAACTAAACAGACGAGACAATAAACAAAAACCAGCTGTTTAAAGATAGCCACAGAGCAACCATGGAAGCCTGCACAAGTTCAAGACCCTGAAGGATCCTGGGGACATAGTCCTGCAGCTATTTTCCCTCAGGGCATTTGCTGACTTGTGGCAGAAGGCAGCTGGAGAGAAAAGCTTAAAATCTATAGTAGTCTTGCTGGTTGAGGAGATGAAGTCACAATTCAGGGTCATCAACAGCCATCATTTAAGGTGCCACGGGCCCACACAGAAATGGACAGCAGAAATGCATCTCCAAAAACTGAGCCCTATATTCTGTGTACAATATCCCTATGAGGCTTTTGTGCATTAAGCAACAGCAGAAAGAAGCTATTAGGCTAAATGTCAAGTCTAGATTTTGGCATTCTCACTGTTCAGGGGAGACAAAAATATGGAGTGCAAGTCCATCGAGGAGGAGAAATCTTGGTAAATGCCAGAGGAGTCATATAAAGAGACCAGCCTTGTCTGATTCAAGGAAATCTGCCTGTGCATTACCTGCCTACTGGAAGAAACTGAACTCCTTCCTAAAACAGCATTATCCACAGCCACTGAAGTGAGCTACTAGTAACAGTGGAAAAGGTAGTTGACTGCAAAACATAGGATGTGTGGTCAGTTCATTTTCTTTTTCTCCTAAATTGGAAGTATCTCAAATGCTCAACCAATAGTAAAGTGGATCTATAAAGTCTAGTACATTCACATAATACCATGGATCAATGAAAAAGAAACTAGCCTTATTCAACATGGTTGAATTCAGTCTGACACAAAACGGCGAGGTCTGTGTGAATCACACTAGACTGCCTGTTGAAGTTATAAACAGACTTCATTTCCGGAAGATTTCAGCATCTAGCATCAGCTTTATTGCCTCACTTTTTATTACTATTCTGACCTTCATTCTCAGTGATTTCAGTTCTCTTATTGTCCAATTACTCTCTACCTGCACACACCAGCTGAATGAAAAGAAAAAACATATAAACCAAAACAACCATACAGCTTCCCCTTGAATTTACATCCACAGACCTTAATGGGGACTTGAGCACAACTCAGCAATCCTGCTATTGCTCAACTTCCTTCATTAATGCACCAGAGGAGTCACCACTCACCTAGAAAAGACTTCACAACTTCCCTCTTACCTCAATCTTCAATACTTAACAGCTGAAAATGTAGTTTCTGATTTCACTGAGGAAGTGGAAGTAATCAGAAGGAAACTGCCACATATTCTACTTATTTACCTCCACTGGTGTATTCAATGACCAATTCTCAGTCTTCACCTTTCACGATCTATCAGCAGCAGTTGACCTTGCTGGTCTCCTTCTCTTCCACGATATTTTCCTCACCTCATTCCAGGACACTGCACTGTTCTGGTTTCCCTCTTCCCGCCCTGGCTGCTCTTCACAAGCTCCTTTGCAGTTTCCTCCTACCTCACCCTCCTAATGTTGGAATGCCCAGGAAACAATACTTTGTCCCGTGTCTTCTCTCTGTCTCTACTTACTCCCTTGGTAATTTTATCCAGTAAGATCGTGGCTTTAAATACCATCCTTAGATATTAAATTATGACTCCTAAACTTTGTCTCTACCCCAGACCTCTCTCCGTATTGTATATCTAACTGTTGATATGTTAACACCCCAGCAGTCCAAAACTCCTGCTCTCTTCCCAAAAGCTAATTCACTCTAATCTACACTTCCCTGTGCCAATTACATGTGTTGATTTATTCAGGTCAAAAACCTTGCAGGCATCCTGACAACTGATTTTCTGTCTCTCAATATAAAATATGTCAAGAAATTCTGCTTATTTTACTTTCAGAATAGATCCATAATTCAACCATTTCTTATCACCCTCACTGCTACTTCCCTGGTTCAAGAATCACCACCTAACCACCTCTGGGGTTTTGCACTTTCTCTCTGAGTAGAACACTCTTGGACTAGATATCCACATGATTTCCTCCCTAAATCTCTGCAAGTCTTCATTCAAATACTACCTTTCCAATGCAGTCTTTCAACATACTGGCACTCTCAGTTCACTTGCCTAGTTCTACTTTTTCTTTCTGCACACTTAACTGCTTTCTAACACACTACATATTTAGTCATTTATTGTCTGTCTCCCTCTACTACAATGTATCCTCCATTATGGCAAGGATCTTTGTTTTGTTTACCAACACACTGCCTAGAACAGTGCAGGTGTGTACTCATATAACTCATTAAACATTTGCTTAATGAAAGATTCTGTAGCCATAAGACTTTCTTCCTGTGACCATGGACGAACTGTCATTGCTTCTATATGCGCAACTTACATGCAGAGTCTCAGCCTCTTTCACCTCAAAGACTTTTGCGCTTGCAGTTGTTCCCTCTCTCTTGCATCATCATTTTTTTTCTCAACTAGATCACTACAATCAGCATAAAAATGCTACTGCCCCAATTCTGTACTTTTTCTTACAGTAAAACTAAAAAATTATATTTAGTGACTCCACTTTCAATACTGTCATTCTCTAACTCAGCTTCTCACTAATCTTACTCAAAATAAGATCCAAAGGCCTAGTATCAGCTCAATGTAACCTGGTCCTCCACTGTGTCACTGTCCTCTTCCATCATTCTCTTCTCACTCACTCAGCCTGTCTCACTGGCCCCCTGGCTGTGCCTCTACTGATTTCTACAACACGGATACTTGCAAATGCTACATATCTAGTTAGAATTCTTCATTTCAACACAATGAACAGACTTCACTGAAGTGTTTATTTTCCTGAAGAACTTCATCAGATCACCTATTTTCTTACCTTAACTGGAGAGCGTGTCATCATCTCCCCAGATCCTCGCGGAAACATTCGTGCTTGAGCAATCATTTCCAACACGCTAGTTTTTCCAGCACTCTGATCTCCAACCACAACAACCTTACCACAAAATAAGTAACATGTATTCAAATTTTTCAATACTAACTTAAATTTCAATAGATTGGGAATGCTGCTGAGGTTTTCTAGTCTTTTGAAAGATCTACAGTTAAGTGATTTTTAAAAATCATCCATAAAAAAAATGGTTGATACATGTATGCATATTGAAAATATAAATAGCAAACCGTTACTTGGATTCATTATTTATGGCCAAATTTTTATTAAAAACTTGTCAATTTAAAAACACTATTTCAAAACCAGGTCATTAATGTTCCACAAATCTCTTTCATAGTTTACTTTTAAAAAAGACATTTTCAGTTCTATAAGGTTAAATTTCACTCATGTGCCTAATTTAACCTATTGTTAGGTATTCTGGTACCAGGAATATTGTGGTTACATAATGCCAAATATCTGATAGCTGTCCTTCATTACACATAAATGTAAGTAAAACAATGGACTAAAATAGTCAAATAACATTCAATGCTGAAGATATCATCTAGAACACATAAGTAGTATTATTTAAGTAAAAAAATGTCTGTTTATATATATATAGATATATATGTATATGTGTGTGTGTAAATATATGTGTCTGTATATATGTATTGTGTGTATGTGTATATGTATTCATATAACTTTTTTAAAGCCTAAAGTGTTTTTTGCTAATGGGTAAGCTCACTATGTATTGATTTATCACTTACCCTCGGCAGATGATCTTGGGTATTGTAACTGGCATCATAATCAGATAGAACATCAAGAACTTCGGAATACATGTCAATCAAAGATTTCTATAAAAATTTAAAAATTAATACTACATAGCAAAACATTAAAAAAAAGTCAAGAGAAAAAAGCTGACAAATCCATGTTTTTCCATAATCACCGTATTATTTTAATTATGTACATACATATTTTTAGTAAAACAGTATAAAATAAAAATCTATTTCTTTCTACCAAATTTATCCATTTTATTTAGAGATACACTGATTCAACAAAGTACATTAATTCAGAATGTCCTAACCTTATAATTAAATGGAAAAAGAGAGAATTTGTTATTTAATATTGAATACCTAATATCTACTACAAAACCACAGTAATCAAGAAAATTTGGTCATGGCACAAGAACAGATTCATAGATCAGTGGAACAGAATAGAGAGCCCAGATATAAACCCACACATTTATGACCAATTAATGTATGATAAAGGGGCCATGGATATACAATGGGGAAATGACAGCCTCTTCAACAGCTGGTGTTGGCAAAACTGGACAGCTACATGTAAGAGAATGAAACTGGATTACTGTCCAACTCCATACACAAAAGTAAACTCAAAATGGATCAAAGACCTGAATGTAAGTCATGAAACCATAAAACTCTTAGAAGAAAACATAGGCAAAACTCTTTTGAATATAAACATGAACTTTTTCATGAACATATCTCCTCGGGCAAGGAAAACAAAAGCAAAAATGAACAAGTGGGACTATATCAAACTAAAAAGCTTCTGTACAGCAAAGGACATCATCAGTAGAACAAAAAGGCATTCTACAGTATGGGAGAATATATTCATAAATGACATATCCAATAAGGGGTTGACATCCAAAATATATAAAGAGCTCACATGCCTCAACAGCCAAAAAACAAATAACCCAATTAAAAAATGGGCAGAGGATCTGAACAGACACTTGTCCAAAGAAGTTCAGTTGACCAACAGACACATGAAAAGATGCTCCACATAGCTAATCATCAGAGAAATGCAAATTAAAACCACGTATCACCTCACACCAGTTAGGATGGTCAACAACCAAAAGACAAGCAACAACAAATGCTGACGAGGATGTGGAGAAAGGGGAACTCTCCTACCCTGCTGTGGGAACATAAATTAGTTAAACCATTGTGGAAAACAGTATGGAGGTTCCTCAAAAAACTAAAAATAGAAATACCATTTGACCCACTAATTCCATTCCTAGGAATTTTCCTGAAGAAACAGGATCACAGATGGAAAAAGACAAATGCACCCCTATGTTTATCACAGCACTATTTATAATAACCAAGACATGGAAGCAACCTAAGTGTCCATTAGTAGATGAATGGATAAAGAAGATGTGGTACATATACACAATGGAATATTATTCAGCCATAAGAAGCAAACAAATCCTACCATTTGCAACAACATGGTTGGAGTTGGGTATTATGCTCAGTGAAATAAGCTAGGTGGAGAAAGACAAGTATCAAATGATTTCACTCATCTGTGGAGTGTAACAACAAAGCAAAAACTGAAGGAACAAAACAGCAGCAGACTCACAGACTTACCAAAGGGAAAGGGACTGGGGAGAGTGAGTGGGAAGGGAGGGATAAGGGGATTAGGGGACATTATGATTAGTGTACATAATATGGGGGGGCACAGGGAAGGAAGTATAGTGCAGAGAAGACAAGTAGTGACTCTACAGCATTTTACTATGCTGATGGACAGTGAATGTAATAGGGTATGTGGTGGGGTCTTGATAATAGGGGGGAATGTAGTAACCACATGTTGCTCATGTGAAACCTGAGCATAAGATTGTATTATCAATAATACCTTAATAAAAAAAAACTGAATAGCTAATATTAAATACCCAACAAAGGAAGACCATTAACACCATAAAGGCCAAATAAGATATCAGGTGACCAACTGAAAGGCAATCACCCTTTATCAAGTCTGGCATGTATATCAGAGAGAGAAAGAGGGACTGAAAAAGGATCAAAGTAAGAAAGCAGCAGCAAGAAGATGGCTGAATCAGTAAGAATGATTAATTTTGATCACTGGGCTGGCTAACATGTGAGAGCATCAGGATGACATTCAGTACTGTTTCTCTCTATAGAAACAGGATCAAACATGGTACTTGGTAAATAACAAGCTTCAACTAAGTATCTGATGAACTAAGGAGCAAATAAACTAGCTGTGAAAAAAAAGGCTATTATCAAGCATTTAGTAATTAAAGGTAAGTTTTAATGTCAAGGCAGGAACAAAATGAGTGAAATTGCTATCTCCTCTACCGAAAAATAAACAAAAAAAATTGTTCAGATTTTCATTACCAATTTACTTTATGAGAGAAAATATGGCTTCTTAGGTAAACTCTCAAAATATATTAATACTTGGACATCACTTTGCTCAACTGCCATGTATAACTTTATTAAATTAAAGCCATCCTATTTATTTGCTTCATACGGTCATGATTTAGAGCCAGAACTACTAACACATGTTGGTCAAACTAGCATTATGTATCTTAAGACCCTGGCTTCAGAATATGTACCATGATTTACTGGAGTTTTGCTAGATACAAATTTTGTTCAGGTATATAAGTTAAAAGACTTACTTCCATTTAATTAATTAATTGATTGTTTCTTTCGGTATCATTAATATACAAATACAATTACATAACCACACTGTGGTTACTAGATTCCCCCCATTATCAAGTCCCCACCACACACCCCATTGCAGCCACTGTCCATCAGTGTAGTAAGATGCTATAGAATCACTACTTGTCTTCTCTGTGCTATACTGCCTTCCCCATGTCCCCTGCTACATTATGTATGCTAATCATAATGGCCCTTATTCCCCTTATCCCTCCCTTCCCACCTATCCTCCCCAGTCCCTTTCCCTTTGGTAACTGTTAGTTCATTCTTGGGTTCTGTGAGTCTGATGTTGTTTTGTTTCTTCAGTTTCTTACCTCCATTTAATTTAGCACATAAAACTTGGTTTAGTGGAGAATAATAAGATTTAATCTGTTGATAATTGTAATTACCAATATGCTGCTGATGACAGTCCCAGCCTATGAAAAGTCCTTTAGAATGCCTAAGAAACCATCCCAAAGAACATGTTAACTCTCTTAATACTGAAAAAAGCATGTTAATCATTCACTGAAAATACAGGTAAGGCAATTATGATGAGTCATATATAAATGTCCATCAACTCACAATTCTGACTTTATAGCTGCAGTAATTAAATAAGCCTAAAGATAAACTAGATATTTCTGAAAAATAAGTTGATTCACAAGAAACAACTGTTAAGAGTATGAAGATTTTATAGGCATAGGATAAACCAAATGTCTGGAGACTATAATTTGTAAAATGTCTTAATCTGGGAAGAGACCTCCTGTCTTCCAAGGACATTAGGTGAGAAAGAAAAGGATGATAGAACACTTTACAGTTCCTTGAAAACTGATACTGATGAACACACAATGTGAAGTGGCAAAGTTCAGAGAACTAACAAATTAAGATGAACTTAAAGTACCTTGAGCTTTCTGTGATGGATGCCTTTGTCATCTTTCTGCAATACTAATTTTCTCAATTCTTTGTTTTCTTTTTCTAACCGTTCCAAGATTCTCTGGTACTTTAACTGCAACAAAATAATACAATTATGTAAGAAAAAAACAGGTTAATAATAAGTCTCAAAATCTTCCAAAATCTTGAAGTCATATTCTGACTACTTAAAATGAATTATTTCATTTAAAAAACTTCTATGAAAATGTTGAGAATAAAATAAATAAATATTACCTCATAAAAACAGTAAAATTCATTATAGTCTTCTATTATAATTTGGCATTTCATTTGGAAAATTCTTTGCTATTTACATTGAAGAAATTATTTCAAAACACTAAAAATGTAAGAATTTAAAGAAGCAATTTGTTATGCTTACTCTATGAAACAGTCTTTCCTATCATACCAAAATTTTAAGTTTTCATTATAGGGACAGTTGACAAAAATTCAAATTCTTCCCATTCTCCATATTATTCTATGTTTTAATTAAAATAATAATAGCTAACAGTACTTGAGCATCATTATGTGACAGGCCCCTGACTATTTCACCTGCATGAAATTCATGAAGTTCCTTACAGTTTCACATGAGGAAAAGGTTGTACAAATTCGGAACTTGATGTTATATAGACACTTGGTAGCCATTCAAAATCACAAATTTTGAATAAAGGTCTGAGTCAAGGGCTCAAACTCTTACAAGTTTGCTAAGTTTCTTTGGCCAGAGATTACACATTAATTTTTAAATTTTGATATAAAGATAGATTTAAAGACTAAAATGTTAAAACAAGTTATTTTTAACAAAGTCAATGCCAGCTGTACAATTTTCTTCTCAAATATATTGATTCTTTTCTACTTGGTCTCCTCAATGTGTACACTATTATTCTCTAAACATTAACAATGTTCAGAAAACTATAATTACTTCTTCCTACAACCAGCAGAATTGCTAATTTCCAACTTTTAATATTATGTGTTTTATAATGGAAAATATTTCTTATAAAATTTTTTGGTGGCTGTAATCTTCCAAAAAACAAAGCAAGGAACAGATCACAGCTCTATCCTGAAAACCAAATTAGAGAAAAACATGTTATGTAGTTGAACTATATAGTAGAGACAGAATTATAGACTAGATTCTACTATAAACTTTTTTCCACAGAGCTTGTTCATTTATATGTAGTAACAGTATATACAACAAACTTCATGCAATATCTAAGAATTAGATCTTTGCTAATATGGCAGCCTCTAGTCACATGTAGCTATTGAGCACCAGAAACTGGCCAGTCTGAATCAAGATATGCTATTGGGTGAAGAACACACAACAAATTTCTATGATTTAGTAAATAAATACCTCATTTATTTTCATACTAGTTACATGTTTAAATTACACTATTTGGGATCTACTGGGTGAAGCAAAATGCATTAAAATCAATTTTGCCTGTTCTTTTTTACTTTTTTTATGTAAAAATTTTAAATGACACATGTAGCTTGCATTGTATTTCTACTGTACATTGATGATAGATAATCCCATGGTTCATTATATCAATATTCCATACAGTATTTGTGTCAATGACCAGTGGCTGACAATTATAATTATAATTGCACATGTTGAGCGGTTGATATCAACAAAAATGATATAAAAGGGTGATATGATTTCCATTGGCTCATGTCTTCATAAATATGGAATCAACTCTGAGTTCTACATTTTCTGGGGATGGGACCATTCTTTGGTCCAAGTCCCCATCTGGTAGCCATCCTGCAGAGATGTGCTACTAAGCTGTTCTCCAATGCTCTAGACCAGTAATTCTCAAACTTAAGGATGCATCAGAATCACATGAGGTCTTTTAAAAACATTGATCACTGGGTTCCACTCCCAGAGTTCTTGATTCAATGGGTCTGGGATGAGGCCAATAATTTGCATTTCTAACAAGTTCCCCAATAGCACTCTTTGAGACCAGAGATTCTTAACTTCTGGCTGCAGACTGGAATTGCCTGGCTGGGAAGCCTTAAAAATGGATATGGTGATGCCCAGACACAAGAGATTGTAAAATATAGTAAGGTATGAGAATCAATGCATAGACATTAAGGAAGCCTGCAATGCAAAATGTACTAATTGTTTAATTTCACCTAGATTGCCCTTGTTTAATATTTTCTTCCCTAAAAAGAGACACACAAGATGTCTTTTTAACTTAAAAAAAAGAAAAAACTTGTAATTACTTCATATCATTGTTTTCTATATAGAATAACTAACATGGAGTGGGTGATAGGGCAATTTCTGCCCTAGAATGTTATCTACTGACTACATGGCACAGAAAAATAGGTCTTTAAAATAATGACAATTTTATAAGCAACAATAAGAGAATAGCTTTTCTAAGTAATGTAAGTAATACCTTTGGAAAAGTTATTACCTGTTTTTGGGCTTTAGAGAAGCAAAGGAAAAAGTTCCTGAGGGCTCACTAGGCCTATGGTAGATTTAAATCCAATTTCTTTAATTGCTACTTAAATTAATTAGTCTATTAATATAAAAATTCAAGCACAGGTTTATATACGGTCATCCCCAATTCTTTTTCTACAGTTTTTCTTTATAATTAGAAGCACAAGATTCACTCAAAATTAGGCTTTTACATATCAGTAAGTAAACCACACCACAAGTTCCTTCTTTATTTCTTCTCAATTAGCTTTTGCATTTATTTACATCTATTGATAAAAAGGTTGTCATTAAACATGCTATATTTTGCTTCATTAAAAAAATTAATTTTCACATCACCAACTTACATTAGAGTTTAAGAAAAAGTCCTTGTTTTTTGTATGCATCATAATTACCTGAGTATGCAAAAGTTCTTCTTGAAGTTGGTCAATTTTCTCTTTGTCTGAAATCTAAATATTTAAAATACTTTTATTAGAGTAGAACTAGGTTTATACAGAACATACAGAAGTTAAACTTTTTAAAAAATAAGAGTAAAAACTGGCTTTATATATATATATATAAAATCAAAGCAAATTTTAAATCAAATGATTCAAAGGAAACACTTGTATTCAATAAAAATAGTACATTAAAATTTTATATTGTTATAATTAAATCATTTTCTTAAAAAAAATCATTTTCCCATTGCCATTCTAGTCATTTCTTATGAATGGCTTGTTAGAAAAATAAGAGATCAACACATATGGTTACCATATTCTTCACATGTTTTATCCTCAAGCATAAATACTTCGATGCTTGGAGAAATAAGGCACTGATATCCCTAGAGATGTGCTTTGGAAAGTCAGATATCTTTTATCATTTACAGCTACTGAAAAAGTTCATTGGTCATAGTGTGTATCTGAAGTAAATAGTATCCATATTTATTCTGTAATAGATATTTAATAAATGCAAAGAACTTGCATTTTCAGAGCTTTAAGTGGAGCTAGATGCTTGTTTTTAAAATCAATTTCAGCACAAGAACTGCTAGCCAATAACATAGCGAATGCATCAGTAGCAATGAAGTCGAGTAAAGCATCTCTACTGGATCTGAACATAAAAGTAAGATATAATACACAGGTATACAAGTATTATGGAAACTACCTCAAATTGTTGTTAATGCCAATAGTTCTAAGAAAAAACATCCAAAAACAACTTAACAGGTTTTAAAGTAGTCATAATACAATTCTAAATATAAAAACACAATCATCAAATATAATTAAAATAATGACACTTATGACAGATCCACATAACTACACTTTGTTTTGACTTGCTGATGAGGTACAGAAGTTGTCATCTTCAGTCTTTCAAAATAATTATCCAAATTATGATAACCAAAATTTATAAACATGAATTTATTACATAGGAGACAAAAATCAAGTTAAAATTCTTGTAAAGCCTTATTCACCTTCCGTCACTTGCTATTTAAGCAATGAAGACATGGTAGCAAATACATATGAAAAAAATTTCAATGATTTGCTTATTGAGGGAGACATTAATAATTCTTACCCATGTAATTAAAAAGCTATTTTGATATTTTAATCCCTACTTCCAAAATAATGTCTCAAAATTTTCCCTAAACATCTTTAAAATAAAAACGACACAATGCTTGCTGCAAACGATAAGGTACATGTATTTTCTTGAAAAGCCTATGCCTGAAAATCTCCAAATGTGATTCAGTAATCAGCAAAAATGTAAGACAAATTCTGTATTGTTTTCTTATTCCTGTATAGCAAGCAGAGACCTGTGGATAGAAGTTTTTTTTTCATTTGACTGTATGTTTCTAAAAAATGGACAAGAATTATTAATAGTCTCCTAAATGTAAGGAAACAAGCAAGGTGGGGAGGAGTCCACAACCCAAAGAACAAAATCTTGAAGACCAATGAATAAATAACTCCATGTTTTGATTATATGATGTCATCATACTATAATAATGTGGTCACAAAAATTTTCTCATGCAGATTAAATTCCCAATTCATTTTAAAAGATACTTTGATTTACTCTACTCCAATATTCACCCAACTGCAATTATTACTATGAAATGTACAAACAGTATTAGTAAATAAAACAAATAAAACTAATAGTTTTATTTTTAATTTTGAGTGTGAATATTTAATGATTGCATGCAATCTATCCTATATTATAATAGACAACCTAACATTACATTTGGAGCAATAGCAAAGAAACTAATACAGCTACACAAAAAAGTTGGAATGTTTAGTATAAACAAAGGGCTATAGAAGGTTTGATTTTGTAATTTGGTAAAATAAAAAGTTAAAATTATATAAGGTTGCTAAAATGTTACAAATATAATCTTTATGCTAATATTAGTATTTAGTGATCATGACTAGTAGAATTTCTAAAATTTGGATTTTTATAAGTGTTTATTTACATCTATCATTTGCTTTTCTGGCATTATTTTTAGGAATAACTTAGGCACAGTTTTACTAATAAACTTCCTATCTCATTAGTTTAACAAAACTTCAAAATTAATGTCATACTGAAAGACTGGTGGAGTCAAGAGTTAGATAAAATATTTTCTAGGAGACAAGATGGAAAACCTTCAGGTTTATAAAATAAATATTAAAGATTGAGAAGACAGTTTTACATATGTTTACATTTTTAATTTGCCACTTATTCAAGGTATTAACTAGCAATTTGGGTATGTTCTATTTTGATGAACTTTAATGGTAAACTTCACCTGCTTAAGATAATATTAAGTCCTCGTCCTGTTGTTTAATATGCTCAGTTTGCATAATGAAATTAACTTAAAACTCACCCTGACAGAAATGGGTATCAGTGGTCTTGAAACCAGAGCTTTTCTACAATTCCAGAGCTGTGAAAATGATGAAGAAAGAGCGGAATCCTCCGCAGAAACAAGCTAAAGCTGAAAGAGAAAAACTTTTACTGGCTCCTCACAAAACCAGGCCTGATCTTAAAATTTTAGGTATTTCTTCCTACTAAGCTATCATAGCCATTCTGAAATACTGCCATACATATATAAAAGACTTGTAAAAATTTCTATGTATGTGTAAATATTCACAGGAAGATAAAAGCTCCAATGGCCGTTTTAACCTACTGTCTCTGTATATCTGCATGAGTTCCTTTGCTCAGAGGATAAAGGGGATATTTACTAGCTGCTACTAAGAAGATATAAAAAATGAAGAACTACTTATATTTTCAAGAAGGTAAAAGGAGAAAAAGTGATTGAAAAGGAACAAAAGATAGCTGTGATTTTGTACTTCAAGTAAACCTTACCTAGAATGATAAAAACCTTATATTAGGATTTCCATCATTATGACAGTAAAGGGCTAAAAGTCATCTGGGTACTAAATACAAGGGGAAGATACGGTAAGGAAACTATCTTTACGGAAAGTAAGGCGAATGATGTCATTATGGAAGAGCATAACTTGTTTTTAAAGTTCCCTTTACTTTCACCCAAGGTAACTCCAAAGTGGGCATGAACTGCCCCATTTGGTGGTCTCCTAAGTATGTGTAAATAAACAAAACAGATGGAGGTACAGTCCTATGAGTCACTATTTTACAAACGGAGAAAGTGAAGAATAAATGGGTTACATGGATAATCAAATATTACAATAGTAACACTATATCTAAGCCTGAAAAAAGGCTGGTAAAGTAGGCCACAAATGAACAGTATTCAATTCTAATATCCCTTAAAGCATTAGATTCAAAAGCATATTGATAATCTTAAACCATATCTTAGTCTTAAAATGGGAGATTTATGGAAGGAACTCATTTCAAATTACTTTACCATTACCAAGGAACAAGCACTTATAACTAGAGCTATATTCATATTTCTAACATACCAGAATATGGTAGCTACCCACCCCTTCTTCCTGCAACAAAGCTGAGAAATAGATGACTCAGCCTAAGCCCTTGTTATTATATGTAAATGGTATGCTCAACAGCACACAGAACAAAGAATGCTAAAGCACCATTTAAAATAAGTCTTTCCTTGGTTAACACATCTACTTGAACTGAATCGAGTAGGAAAAAAACTTATTTTCTATTTTCTCCTGTTAGTCATTCACTGAAAGTGTAAAATACATTATGAGTTGATTCCACAGCCATGGAATTGAGAAAAGCCAGTAAGGACAGTGAAAGAATAACTGAGTACTTTCAAATATTACCCATCAGCAAATGAGCTAAGGTTAGCCTGCAGAATTACTGCACTGATACTGGCTGATTTCAGTATCAGAACCTACAGAAAGCTAATTATATGATGGTATCTTTTTCCCTAAGATTTGTATGTAACCTTAAAAGCTTTCTGACCAAATTAACTTATCTGATTTCAAAATCTCAGAGTACAACTTTAAAATCACCACATTCATTTCATTTTGACTCAAAGTTTCTTTAGAACATTAACCTTGAGATCTACACTGTGGGAAATCTAACAGCCAAAAGCATATTTTAAGGACCTCCTGATTGCACGTTCAACCAAATATTTATATAGATTTTTGCTTTAGTGACCAGAATTACATCAAATTCTCAATGTTCAACCTTTCACTGGTCCAAGGTGAAAATTTGTGTTGCTTTTACTGATCAATGTGGAAAAATTTTATGCAATGAGTTTACCAAAGTGTATAAGAATAACTTTACCCAAAAGTTAAATCAAAAGTTTTCTTCTATAAGAAATAAGAATGTTCTCTGTTGATCAATTTTACTAAAACAAATAAATTTCATTCTTTAAATAATCTAACATAGTTATCCACAGTAATTCTTTTCACTTTAGAAATGAAAACTTGGAGAACAAGTAAATATAAAAGTTGGCAACAAACAGAGGACTCAAAAACTGGATCAATTAAGTGCAATTCGTCATTCTTTTCTAAATACAAATCCATGGATCTTCACAGATTATCTAATTTTCAGAAAACAAAATCCAATGTCTAATATTTTGGGTTTGTTTGCCCACTCCAGGAAACTTACATATCTGTATTATGTATCTTTCATATTTTTGCTTTGTCAAAAATTTATTTTCAAAATAACTGAGTCCATGAATGGATCAAGGTGACATGATCTTGGCAGAAATGATTAGTTAGTATGAACATATCAGTAGCCCCTTAAACCATCCATCACCTTGCGCTTGTGTTGGGCATAGCTCGAGCTATATTGGCCAGCAGCTCTGCGCGTTTCTTCTTCGTGCTCTTGAATTTGCTTTTGTAAGAGAATGAGCTCACCAAGCAGACCCTGCCATGAGTTTACAGCAAGAAGAAGAGGAAAATTGGGGAGGAGAACAATGTTAAACCAAAAGGCACAAGAAAGGAACAGATGTAAATTAGGGAGGAATGGATAATTTACAACAAAAATGAAAACTTATTTATGTTCCTTTATAGCCACTACATAATTGGACTCTGTACCACATTTCCTTTTTTTCCCTCCGGAAAATTAGATGTCTCTGAAATTGTAAAATAGCATAGTTTAAAAAGTGAAAAGGAAAATGCAATGTGACTGTTTGCTGAATGCAACAAGCCAGATATATAATATTCATATACAGTAACACCTACACTAACTGGAATGCTCAAGGAAGGTGGCACTGTAGTTAACTAAATTTCCTTGTAACAGGAAAATAAAAATATTTCAGCCCTTATTTTTTAATTGTCAATATGCTTCTGACTTGATACATATGGGGAAAACAACAAAATTGATTTTAACACTGTTGATCTCACAAGCCTAAATTTTAATTCTCAACCATAATTCTCAAAAGACTGAATAGAAGCTACATAATATAGCTTATTTACTTATTAAATTATTATTCTTAAATATTTTTCCTTGATATGGTATCTTCAATTACAGATTACAGCCCCTCAAAATTCTATTAACTTGAGTTTTTGCACATTGAATTAGTCAAGGTTTTACATTAATTCATATTTTACATGTCTATGCAAACAAAATTATTTGACTAAAACTTAGAGTTCTTTTTTTGCAAATTAAAAATATTTGAGGTAGTGTTTTAACTTAATATAACATCAAATTAGTAGTTTAAATTTTCACCTTCTTTGGGCTGTTTTGACATTAAATGCAAATAGCCTTGAAGAATATAACCAAGAGTATATTAATTACTAAAAGGTACTATAAAAGTACATAATTAAAATATGGACATAATACAGTTACTATGAAAATTAAAAAAGAAAAAAACACAGTTTGTACCTATGCATAAAATAATCACTTCTATGTTTAAAGTTCATTCCATTTACTAATCATGAACTATTAATCTGGTACAATTTTTTATCATAATGTATTCACATGGTGTGATACTAAAACACATGTCATTTTTGTACAGTATTTTCAACTGCTGACCTATTAGATAACCAACCTTGGGAAATGTAGGAGAAAAGGCAATTAACAATTGACACTATGATAAGCTTAGTATTTTCTCAATTAGAAACCTTAAAAAACCCTGAAAGTTCCAACGAATGAGGTTACTGGCAAGTGTTCTAGAGAACAATGGGCTCAATATTTATGAAGTGATAAAAATAAAAAGAGGAAAACTGACATTCATTGAAATAATCTAAATTAGGAGTTTCAAATACCTTCAGAGCTTTTTTAAATAACTGCCCAAAATATTTTATTTTGGATAGTTAGAAAGTTTCTTAAAATAAATACTGGTAAACATTATATTCAAGTTTTAATTACTAGGCTCACCCATAGGTTTAATACTTTCATATAACTCAGAGACTTAAATAAATACAGAAGTTTTCCAGAAAAGAAATAAATACACAGAAAAGCTAGTATTAATAGTAAAGCAATTAAATTAAGGGAAAATATCAACATATAATTTGGGAGATTTTTATTTTGTTTGATTTCTTAGTTTTAATACATTAGGCTATGCCAACAATACACTGGTTAACTTAGTATAAATCAAAGGATGAAACTAGTTGACATTTCTTCATGACAAGAGGACATCAAAGTGGCAAGTAACATAACTGAAATTTCAACATTTCCAAATTCAACAGTTCAAAATGTATTGATAAAAATCTGCAGTTATTGTTAAAGACATATCTTTTAAACAAATACTTTTATGGTTTATGAGAAATCTATTAAAGAAAGACGATGTCCACTCAAGCCCTCATCATTGCCACAATTTTTTATGTCATCTTTCTTGTTTTTTGTATCATTGCTTTACAATCAAGCAAAAAGTAGTCATCCAACTTATTTTTATTCAATTGGTCATTTAACATAAACACTTTCTCTAATAATTTATTCCTCAAAACAATTCCCTTACACAGTAGTATACCTGTGCTTTAATTAACATAACCCCAGTATTCTAGTTTATAAAATACCAAAGCAGTGAGAAAATATCCCACATTTTTTAACTGTGCTGGTCTCATCACTTGCATGGTTCTTTACTTACAGCTTAAATACTTCACCCTAATCTACTTCTTATATCTATGTACAAATCACATGATAAATACTCTAATAACTGTTAAAATAACAGGAAAACACCCTCTTTCTAGTGACACCTCACTTTCTTTCCAAGTCTGTTACTGAAGCACTGTTATGTGAAGGTAGTTGAAATTAACTGTTAACCTCCTGAAAAAAGTAGGAAGAAAGCATGAATTAGACACAGAAAAAGCTATTTATACTATTCTACATGACTAAAAGGAGGTTACCCTTATCCAATTTTAGGCATTAACTTCCACCCTAAATACTGAGTGATGGGCTCTATAGCTGCTAGGCTAAGGCCATGTGGATAAGGAAGGTGAAGAAATGTGTGTGCCTGTTGTGCCGAACATACTCCTTAAATGGACAAAATACTTTTTTCCAATAAATATTTTCCCCGGCTCAGACATTCTTCTCCCAAGAAATAGCACATATTTTTTAAGTGATACACATTATACAAAATATAATAATTATAAATAACAATCATCATTGTCAAGTACTACAAATTATATACTTCCTAAACATCTGGTTATTATCAATTTGATACTACAGCTCCCTTCATCTCATATTTCAGGTACAGTGTTCTCAATTATTAAAAAAATTATGATGTCAGATCAAGAAAACCAGTGACAACTCCAAAAACCAAAATATCAACTGAAAATGCTGTGAAAACCTAGAAGTTGATGATTTTGGTAGGATAAATTTAAATAATCTTGAAATTATAAGTTATTCATATGTGAATACATTTAAAATCCTGTATTTTTAACATTTATTTTATATATATAATATTATATTTTTAACAGTATTTAAAAAAATTATAGCAAAGCAGGGCCCATATCTTACTTGTTTTTATACCTAGCACCCAGAATAAGGCTGACCCATGAGATATGTTATAGCTTGGCACACGTTTGTTGTGAATCAACTACAACCTACTTTTACCTAATAATGCACACAAAGTTTCTAGCATAAAATCCAAACTGGGTTTCCTAAAAATGCTTATTCTGTAAATAAGCTATATCTCAACCCTCAATCCATTTTTGCATTTTTTACAATCCCCAGAATAAACTCCACAGAAATTAAGGGGAAGATATTAATGAAAACCTATTAACATACTATTAAGTCATGGAACAATTCAAAGTGTAAGATAATAATGATCACTGCCATTGTCATCATCATCCCAATAGCCAGTATTTGCTTAGTTTAATTATGTGCCAGATCTTATGCTTAAGGGCTTTACATAATTCTCACATTAACCCTATCAGATAGGGTTCCCCCTTTTATAGAGGAGGAAACCAGAAACTCAGAGAAGCTAAGGAACTTGCTCAAGGTCACACTGCTCAGAAAGCAGGAAGGGCAGGATCAGAATGCAAGCAGTGTGACTCCAAAGTCTACAACAGATTAGCCATTCTGGTGACACTATGGTCTCCTTGTATCCAAAGTGCCTTTAACCCATCAGGTTCAACATACATTTAAAAGATGTAAATGGTGATATTATAATACACTGGAAGGCATATTTACATTACTCTTTGGAGAAGGAGTTGGCAAACTACTATAGGCTGGCTGAGTGGCTCACAGAGACTGTAAGGCCTGCAAACCTAAAATATTTACAACCAAGTCCTTTAAGGAAAAGTTTGCCAACCCCAGCTTTATTACTTTTATAAGTAATTTGGGTCCAGTACACAACTTTCTGAAGTGATGACTCCTTCCCCCTTCCATTTAAAAAATATTCCTAGGCAATAAAACAACTTTTCAAAATTTGAATAATTCTGCTATTTGATTGGTGAAAAGAACTACTTTCCTCTTTTTTTTTCTTCCCAGTAATACTTAACTCTGTTCAAGATATTTATAGCCAACTAAAAAATGTTTATTATTGGATATCAAAGGAAAATATGTCTTTCCACTTAGATTAACTAGCTCTGCTCCAAATCAGAAATACCATATCCTATTTTACTATTTGGACAATTTCTACAAATAAGAATTTTAAGAGATGAACAAATCAGTCTATTACCAATAGTTATTATCAATATTACAATTTCTACCAAATACACTGTTTTATATTAATATCTAAAACCAGTACAGTATAAATAGTATATACCTATTTAATGTTTTGTAGGCACAGAGTACAGTGTGTTTATTAAGAAATAAAATACCTGAAACTAATGTAATACTGTGTGTCAACTACCCTTCAATAAAAAATACTTATCTAAAAAAAAAAAAAAAAGAAAGAAAATAAGGTTTCCTGTTTTGCCTTTTCTCTTTTCCTCAGAGGTTTTCCCTGCTTTTCTTCTCCTGATCCCTGTTTCCTATCTACTATATTACAGTACACAGGTGGTTGGGCTTCCTGGCTAAGAATATAAACAAATACACTTGCTGATTGTTAGCTGCTCAGGAAACCTAAGTTTCCTGAATTTTGAGCTGGTTGTGAGAATTCAATTTTGCCAGTTACTACATTATTTGCTGCATGAGGAATCCCAGAAATGTAAATCCTGTAAATTCTACTTAAGCAATACTGCTTCATTACAATTCAGAATACCAAGTACATGTACCATCCTCATATTCTTATTCTCTTTAGTAGTTGCCAAATGTTGACAACCAAAAGAAATTCACAGGTAATCAGAGCAAAAAGGCGTATTACATAAAAATCTTTGGACCCACTCTCATTGGCATTAATCAAATTTATTTACCTTATTAAATCAGCCTTTCTTTTACTGAGTTAAATCAATCAATCAATTTTACTAAGAGCTCAGCACTATCCTAGGTGTTCTGAGGACAGGGATTTTGTGACAGAAATAGCCCATTAAAGAGTAAGAAAGCAAGACAAAGTAGTGTTTCATCTGACAAGTGTTTTAGATGTTGAGAGAGTATAATTAATGGAACTAAAATAGTTACAGGATTCATGAAGGAGACAACTGAGCTCAGCTTTGATGATGAGTAGGAATTAAGCACAGGAAAAGGAAGAGAGAGATTTCAGCTGGGAGATCCAACGTAAGTAAAGCCACACAAATAAGAATTGGAGTAACAAGTAGAAGAAAAGCATTAATGTATTACTGTCTAATAATTATATTTAAAACAGTAATACTACTTTTTATGATTTGGACTTTTAAAAGGTCTTTCAAATATTTTCTGTAAGTTATAAATGTGCTTATAACCTTCAGAATGACCATATTTCTTAATTCTGTGAGATGTTTATAACCAATCAGAAACATGATAGAACGGAAGCACAGATAATAAATATCTCATTTAGCAAATTAATCTTCACTAGAACACAACAATCTTATTGAATCTAAAAAAGGAGCCATATTAAGTGGTCCTATCACCTGTATATACTATAATTGATATATAGAAATCTGCTAATTTACAAATCAGATGAGCCTTTTAATTTACTGAAATAGGCTATGGAAGCAAGCTAAGTGTCCATCAGTAGATGAATGGATAAGAAGATTTGGTACATATACACACACAATGGAATACTATTCAGCCGTAAGAAAGAAACAAATCCTACCATTTGTAACAACATGGATGGAGCTGGAGGATATTATGCTCAGTGAAATAAGCCAGGTGGAGAAAGACAAGTGCCAAATGATTTTCCTTGTTTGTGGAGAATAACAATGAAGCAAAACTGAAGGAACAAAATAGCAGACTCAGAGACTCCAAGAAGGGACTAGTGGTTACCAAAGGCGAGGGGTGTGGGAGGGCAGTTTGGGAGGAAGGAGATGGGGATTGAGGGTTATTATAGTGTCAGGGGTCACAGGGAAGACAGTGTAGCACAGAGAAGGCAAACAGTGAATCTGTGGCATCTTACTACACTGATGGACAGTGACTGCATTGGCATATGGGCGGGGACTTGATAATATGGATAAATGTAGTAGCCACATTGTTTTTTCATGTGAAACCTTCATAAGAGTATATTATCAATAATACCTTAATAAAAAAATTTTAAAAATATATCACAGAATGTTTTTTCTAAATACCTATTTATTTAGATATTACTTTTTTTTTTTAACTTTCAAGGAATCAGTTTTCTTAACCAATTCCAAAAAATGGAAAAAGTAAAGACTAAGAAAATGTCAGGTTAACATGAATATAAACAAAGCAATGCTTATTTTACAACAGCAATTTTCCTAAAACTTTCATAGGATTTCAACGGATATACTGAAACTGACATACCCTAAACAGTGCCATAATTTTGTTGTCTATCAATGTAATGGAATCAATTTATCCCCTAATGACCTTTCCTAGTCCGTTAATATTTCCCCTAAGTGTTTGCCATGAAACGTTAGTCCCTAAAACACATTCCATGGATAAGGGGCTCTACTGATAAATAAATCTGAGAAACTCTATATATTCTGGACTTCTCTTGGAGATTCACAATGTACAGGAGAATATTAAGGTCTCACAAATCCTAGGGAAAAGAAAAGCACCCTGCTTGTTTTATTTATACCAGCTTTTCCCATACATATTTAGCAATAAAACTCTTTGTTGGGGAAAGACCCTAAACTAATTATTTCACACAATATATTTGATGGAAATGGGCTTCCCCAATTACATTTTGAGAACCATTGTATAGTACCTTGAATTTTGCACCAAGATTAGTAACAATACCTCTACTTAGATGCTTTTATATTTGCTCCTCAGATGTTAGCATTTTCAAATCTTCCAAGTAGATGAAAACTTCTACAGTTCTTTCAAGACTACCTATGTGAAGAATTTTCCTGTATACTTACCTTTCTATAATGCTTTTCACTTTCAGATCCATGATCTGTTGCTCTAAATGCCGTTTCTCCAGGTGAACCTTAAAGATAAATACGGAGTCCTTTAAATTCTCCAGTGATGTCAATAGCTTAAACTAAAGTCAAGATCATGTCTAGTCAATTAAAAGGGAAGTGGATTTTTAGAGCAAAAATTACTTCCTGGAAAACTCTTCTTATTTTAAGGAATATACTGGTAACCTATGCAGATAATTCTTAAATATATCATAGAACATATTTAACCTATTTTTTAAAATATCACTGAATATGACGATAAAAAGACAATGTTTGATTACATGAGAGTACTTACAGTTCAGCCATATATCACTGCCATTACAGACCACGTATAGTCAAAAAAATAAGTTTAAAATGTCAACTATGACAGGACAGATGAGACAAACTAAAATTACTTTTCATTTCGATTATCAGAATCAGATCAATTTGAAGAAAATATTTTGGTTAAGCAAACTTTCTTAATAGCTTTAATCTTGTAATATAGAGACACTTTTAGGATTTTTAGTTTTCCTACAAAATAATTATTTTATTATTTCTACCTGAAGGGTAATGAATTTGCCCAATATAATTATGGAGTTTTAGAATTCAGCATAAGCAGCATTATAAATCTGGGCTACAATTTTATTGGCAAGTAGTTTATTAGAAGCATTTAAAAGGCACATTAAGGTCAGCAAAAATGTCTGTTTACACACCTAACAAGAGAAGTAGGTCAGAAGCTCCTATGACTTCACTAACCAATTTGTGACCTGTGAAAAATCAGCAGAAAGGGAAATAGAAATGTAAAATTTAACAGAAATGAGCAAACAAAGATGTCTGAGACCTCAGATTTATCTCATGATATGGCAGTAATTGGGCAAATATGCCAGGATTAACCTTAGTAAATTCTACTTATTATGGCCCATCATAATTAAATGTTTTAAAATAGCCAAATTGGCTTTAACCAAGTATGAAAAGCAAACACATAGGAAGTCTCATCTACTTGTCAAGAACAAGTGAAAATTTTTTCTGACAAAAGCTAAAAACATGTTTAAGTTCCTGCACATTTTCATTTTATTGGGCTAAACAAAAACTAAAACCACCAAGCAACAAAACTTTGTTGTTTTTTTGAAAAATTTTTCATTTGTAATAAATCTTTTCATTTAGAAGATGGAAATAAACAAATGAATACATCTAAGTATTTTTTCTCTCTGGTTCCTGACATTTTAAATGAGATCAAACACAGGTCTTTCCTTACCTGTGGTGAAAAAGTCCTTCAATAAGCTGAGGCTTTCAACAATCTTATCCAAATCAGGTGCTAATTTTGCAAGGTCCTCTGAATTAGGAAGAGCTTTTCTAATTTTCTCTGGAAAGGACAAAAATTAAAAATTCTCAAAATAAGAATTTGACTCTTAAAGTATTCATAAAATTTAATCAAATTTAAATATTTTCCATTTTTCTCCTTGTTATAACTGCTACAGATACCTGAAATAACGTTATTCTGATATTCTACAAGTCATGAAATTTAAAAAAAAAGACTTACCAAACATGGTTTAGACACTACTTTTGATTTATAAACTAATAGTCCTGAGACAGAAGAAACAATGTTAACACTGGATTGGAATCACAAGTCCTTTTTGGGAGGAAGTCAGCAAAGAGGCAAAGAAACAAAAAAAAACAAGAGAAAAATATTTCTTGTGGACCTGGCCTGAACTAAAAAAAAAATGATGAAATCCCAGTTCTAGTTTAAGAACAGAATTCCCTTATTTTTCTCTCTCCTTTCATACTCCCTTTGAAGATTCATACTTATTACCATTTACAAATAACCATCTAAGGACCTCAGCCAAGCTTTTATTTTATTTTTGCTAGCTTTATTTACAAAATACTCAAAGCATTTATTTTTGACAAACACTCAGCAATTTTGTCAAATTTTGGTACATTACAGGGTCTTTTGAACTGGAAGATTTTTTTCTAATTTTCTCTGGGGGAGACCAAAACAAATAATCTAAAAGTAAGAATATGTGTCAGATATTATAAGTGCTATAAAAGCATTAAATTTGACTAATCTTTATAACAACCATGGAGAAAAGCTATCAGCAACTCCATTTTGCAAATGAGGAACTGGGACATACAGGTTAAGTAACCAGACTTGTGAACACAGCAAAAAAGGTGGTGGATGGAGTCAAGGTTTAAGCCTAGGCAGTACAGCTTCAGAAACCAGGCTCTCACCCACTACACTGTGGTACTGGCAAATGTATTAAGTGAAAAAGCTCTCCTCATGGATATTATAAAAATATTTTGAAGGAGTGCTTTTTCTGCAAATATCTTGGTCAATGCAGTACAGTTTTATCTTTCAGAATTTCTATGAATAAGTTTAAATAGAGATTAATTCCACTCCCACAAACACCTAAACTAAGAAATAAGACAAAGTCTAAAAAGAGAGACTGAGGGAAGTAATTTCACTGCCCTGCAAATTTTTTTTTAAAAGAATACCATGACTTACTGGCAATTAGAGCTCTCACACATACTTTTTTTCTCAACTACCTATTATTAGAAAGAGGGGATAGTGGCTGACTTTGGGGAGAAATTACTCTGGACACTAGCAGGCATTTAAGGAACCTGGTTACAAAAGTAGAGGTCATCAAGCATCCAATCAAAAGACCTAGTTAGGGGGTCACAGTGGATCTGTTCTGGGGAGCACTCTACAACAGTGACAATGATGTTTAGGAAGGCTACTTGGTAGTATGGAAAGTGCTGACAAATACATTAGGTAACAAAAGGACAAGACACTGAAATACATGTTCACTATGACTACATCATTTTTAAAAAGGAAACTGAAGTATTGACCATGTATACATACACAATGAAAAGAAAATGCTCTATAAGGGTAGTGGCAGTTGTGTTAAAGTGATGGACTAAGGATAATTCCTTACCAATTTTTTTCTATGATATTTTATTACTTTTATTACTAAAATAGAACTGCTACACATTAAACTCATGGTTAAGAAACTATCTCAATACAACTATTTCTCTTTTCTAAAGATATGACAAAGAAAAGAGTTAATGTGGATGATACAAACCTAAATCGATATATTCATCAATCTCCCACACAATGTCAGGCACAATCCATTTATAGTCACTAAGGTCAGGTATCATATCTTTCCACTGATCGAAAGTCTAATAAAAAATAAGAAAGTATGCCAATCAAATGCTCTGAATGCCATACAAAATATAAATTAAAATTAATTCATTTAATTAAAGCATGCTAATCTACTAAGAGCAATATAGTATGTTCAAAACTTCCAGAAACAAAGTGGCCTCAGCTCTTCTAAAAACAAATTAGCAAGCAAGCAGATAAAACACATAAATGTTCCTTTACTAAGTGTGGAAAATGTAAAAATTCAAAATATATTCCTATTACAAATAGGTTGCATGATATGGCTTTAAATAACATTGTTAAACAGAAGGAAGACCAGGAGTCAGTAAGCTTGCCTCACTTGGGTCCCACAGCCACAAAGAATTGGTTGTGTTAGCATGCCACATACCTTCCTGCCTCTACAACTAAATGGCAAGCTGAAAATCAAACTTAGGTGTACACACTTCCAGCTGACCTCAGCCAAGCTTTTATTTTATTTTTGCTAGCTTTATTTACAAAATACTCAAAGCATTTATTTTTGACAAACACTCAGCAATTTTGTCAAATTTTGGTACATTACAGGGTCTTTTGAACTGGAAGATTTTTTTCTAATTTTCTCTGGGGGAGACCAAAACAAATAATCTAAAAGTAAGAATATGTGTCAGATATTATAAGTGCTATAAAAGCATTAAATTTGACTAATCTTTATAACAACCATGGAGAAAAGCTATCAGCAACTCCATTTTGCAAATGAGGAACTGGGACATACAGGTTAAGTAACCAGACTTGTGAACACAGCAAAAAAGGTGGTGGATGGAGTCAAGGTTTAAGCCTAGGCAGTACAGCTTCAGAAACCAGGCTCTCACCCACTACACTGTGGTACTGGCAAATGTATTAAGTGAAAAAGCTCTCCTCATGGATATTATAAAAATATTTTGAAGGAGTGCTTTTTCTGCAAATATCTTGGTCAATGCAGTACAGTTTTATCTTTCAGAATTTCTATGAATAAGTTTAAATAGAGATTAATTCCACTCCCACAAACACCTAAACTAAGAAATAAGACAAAGTCTAAAAAGAGAGACTGAGGGAAGTAATTTCACTGCCCTGCAAATTTTTTTTTAAAAGAATACCATGACTTACTGGCAATTAGAGCTCTCACACATACTTTTTTTCTCAACTACCTATTATTAGAAAGAGGGGATAGTGGCTGACTTTGGGGAGAAATTACTCTGGACACTAGCAGGCATTTAAGGAACCTGGTTACAAAAGTAGAGGTCATCAAGCATCCAATCAAAAGACCTAGTTAGGGGGTCACAGTGGATCTGTTCTGGGGAGCACTCTACAACAGTGACAATGATGTTTAGGAAGGCTACTTGGTAGTATGGAAAGTGCTGACAAATACATTAGGTAACAAAAGGACAAGACACTGAAATACATGTTCACTATGACTACATCATTTTTAAAAAGGAAACTGAAGTATTGACCATGTATACATACACAATGAAAAGAAAATGCTCTATAAGGGTAGTGGCAGTTGTGTTAAAGTGATGGACTAAGGATAATTCCTTACCAATTTTTTTCTATGATATTTTATTACTTTTATTACTAAAATAGAACTGCTACACATTAAACTCATGGTTAAGAAACTATCTCAATACAACTATTTCTCTTTTCTAAAGATATGACAAAGAAAAGAGTTAATGTGGATGATACAAACCTAAATCGATATATTCATCAATCTCCCACACAATGTCAGGCACAATCCATTTATAGTCACTAAGGTCAGGTATCATATCTTTCCACTGATCGAAAGTCTAATAAAAAATAAGAAAGTATGCCAATCAAATGCTCTGAATGCCATACAAAATATAAATTAAAATTAATTCATTTAATTAAAGCATGCTAATCTACTAAGAGCAATATAGTATGTTCAAAACTTCCAGAAACAAAGTGGCCTCAGCTCTTCTAAAAACAAATTAGCAAGCAAGCAGATAAAACACATAAATGTTCCTTTACTAAGTGTGGAAAATGTAAAAATTCAAAATATATTCCTATTACAAATAGGTTGCATGATATGGCTTTAAATAACATTGTTAAACAGAAGGAAGACCAGGAGTCAGTAAGCTTGCCTCACTTGGGTCCCACAGCCACAAAGAATTGGTTGTGTTAGCATGCCACATACCTTCCTGCCTCTACAACTAAATGGCAAGCTGAAAATCAAACTTAGGTGTACACACTTCCAGCCCAGTGCACCTTCCACTAGGCCATTTCCATCTTCTACAATTATAACTAAGATTTAGAGAGAATTTTCCTACTAGCACCACTAAAACAATTTAGCACGTGGTAGAGAGATACACAATAAATGCTTAAATATCCAACTATATTCCATTGCACTAAAGAAAAGCTTTATGCTATAAAACCTTAAAACAATCACACTGGAATAAAAAGAAAAGCAGTTGGAAAGATACACTCACCTTTTTGGCTGTATAGCCACCGCCAACAGCAGACCCTAATATGAGATACCGAAGTTTTAAGAGTCTTGCAGCTAATCTCGCTGGCCAAAAATTCCTGCGGGGCTGGTAGCCGTATTTAATTGGAGAAAGTTTCAATTTACGTAATGGAAGGTTAGTTAGAGAAGAGAATTGTTGAAGTGATGTCTTGAATTGGGGTCTCTGAAGCTTTAAGGTAGGATGATGTGAATGATATACACTTCGTGAAACCAGATGCAGTTTTTGTAATGGTAAGCTTCCTTTTATTCCAGAACTATGTTTCACTAAGGATTGGCAGACCTCACTGAAAGAAAAATGGGTGTGGGAAAAAGATCAGGGTAACAATGCAAAGGAAATGACAGAGAAAGAGCAGTACGCTCAAGGAAAAGCACACGTGCACACATGCCCAACCACACTTTGTCATCCAACAGCTCACGTTCACTGAACAGTTACTGTGTGCCAGACACTGCTGCAGCCTGTGCTACCTCACTTACTCCTGCTGCTAAAATGATCGAAGTGTAGTACTATCCCCATGTTACCTAATGAGAAGAAGGGAGCACACAGACACAGGTAGCTTGCCTAAGTAACACTGATATAAGGAGTAAAGGTGGGATTCAGGAAATGGGACTCCAGAGCCTATCCTCTAATTTACTATACGTGTGCTATGGTCCTGATCCAAGGAATTGAACCTGAAAAGAAAAAACGTGGAGGCTTCTTTTATTAACTTATTTTATTCACTGACAGTAAAGTTGAAAACAATAAATGCAAACTTCTGCTTTCAAGCATAAAAACTCCAGCAGCTTGGAAAAGCTATTCTTTGCCTTCTCATCTATGTCTCACGATCCTGAGAGAGCCCAGGAATGGAAAATAAGGAAAAATAATTAACACCTCAGGCACCTGCTTTCCCAGAAAATGAAAATAGCAAAAACAAATAAAAAGCCAACCAACCAGCTAAACAAACAAAAGAAAAGAGCATCTAACTGTACATGTTACTGCCTGAACTCTTCCCTCTTCCCCTTACTGGCAAAGAATGAAAGTTTATCACAAGCAACCATATGCCTGATTATTTTATTCAACACACATTCATCATGCTTACTTATAAATAGTTTTAAAATATTAATTCATTTAATCACATAGGACTAGAACATCTTAACTAAAAGGACTCAAGGAACACAGAAACAGTGATGTGAAGAAGAATAGTGAGGGAAAAGGCTAAGGGCCAGGTATTAGTGTTAGATGTTTTCACAAATGCTGCCCTAAACTTTCAGAAAAACCTGGTAAGGTAAGTATCCATATTTTACCAATTTGCCTTTTAAAAAACTGTGTTTTGCCTAAGGTACCATGACTAGGAAATGGTGGAAGAGAGACTGAAACTCAGGTCAGTCTGACAGTAAAGCCCATATTCTTTCCACAAGATACACTAGTGGGTAAAGCCTGGGAAGCAGTGGATGCAAAAGACAGGTGTGACTCCAAACAGGAGGCTAGGGTGGCTTTTTGGAACACCTGCCACTTGCTCTGGAACCCTCAGGGAAGACACTGGACCTTCCTCTGATTCAAGACTCTATAGGAATCTTCTAACTCAGGAAATGTGAGGGAAACATGATTTAATAATAGGAAAAAATAAATGTTACAGTTTAGGCACACTAGTGATTTATAATTCTACATGTGAAGGTTATTTGCAATTACAAAAATATTTACCTTCTTTTTAGAAGTTGCTAGGCATTCTGTACATCTTTTAAAAGCTCTGACTCCAAGATAAATCATAATTTCTCCCATATTATAAAGTAAGCTCCTGTTTTCTTTAATTATCCAAGAAATTAAAGTCTCCTGACCTCAACTCAGGACATATAAAAAGCAAAATCTTTCATTTAGCTTCAAAATGGGCTCCACCCAGTAATTATACACATATGAAAATTATTAAAACAATTGCCTCCATGTCAAAGGAGCAGTAGAGACAGTAAGTGATAAGTTCACAGAAAAACAAGTGATCCCTAGGCATTGAGGTAGTCAGTGAAAATTTCCCAGACAAAATAAACTTAAAAGTTAGGTAGGAAGTGAAGAGTCAAAAATGGAGAAAGTAATTCAGCTAGAGGGATGGAAGTGAAATAATGAAATGCAAAGACACCCAGAGAACTGACAAAGAAGGTTCACTGTGGGAGGTGAAATTGGAGAGGTGGCCTAAGAAAGAAACTATAGAGCCACCGATCATCAGGCTGAGTTACCTTGTAGGCAACAGGGAGACACTGAAAGTTTCTGAGTAGATTAACTAAACAGTAATGAAAGAATGTATTAAAGGCAATGTTCTATGAACTGAATGTTTGTGTCCCCCAGTTGCAAAATTCGTATGTGGAAGTCTAATCCCCAGTGTAACAGTACAGAGAGGTGAGGCCTTTGGGAGGTGAACTGGCTTCTATGTGGTCATACAGGTGGAGCCCCTGTGATGAGCTTGGCACCCTTATAAAGAGTTGAAGAGCACAGACTTCTCTCTTCGGCATGAGAAAACACAGGAAGATACTAGTGCCAGATGAATTTTGGTTCCAGTGACAGCTTCACTTTCATTAGCTGTGCAATCAAAGGCAAATTATGAACTCACCAAAGACTCAGTTTTTAATGTTAAAAGGGATAATAGCTATATTCTTGGACTATAATCCCTTTTCATCATAATCTTCGACCCTAGTGAAACAACCAAGTTACTGACACTTTCATCTTTTTATCTATTAATCTCTGTTTTACCTACTTATCCACTTAACCTACCTTACAATTCCCTGGTTCATACTTTCAATACTCTTTTGCAAATACTCTAGACTCCTTTGCCCTCTAACTTTGTTTCATTTGTGTGGCAAAATACAAATGTTGGGCGAACCTTATTATCACTTTTCTTTCTGCCTGTATCAAGGGAATGAAGCACTACTGAAGAAAATCTCATCCAACTGGACAGACATCTAGCCTAGGCCCTCATGACTTCCTGACTATCTTACTTCATTTCTTTGTCAATTCATTCTTCCACTCTGCTAGGACTGTTTCAGACGTTCTCTACTCTCCTCTAACTTCCAACACCTCCCATACTTCCTCCACCTCTCAGATGACCCTGGCCCCCTACTTCATGGAGAAAATACAAGCCATAGCAAGGAAACATGCTGTTGTTCACCTACTGTATCTATACCCTCTTCTAGCTCCCCCTCACCCCACAGCACCTGTAAGACTGCAGCAAGCACTTAAAAGCAAATCTCTGTCCCTCTCTCCTCCTGCCTTTACTGGAATCGCAAGTTTCTCTCAACTTAAAGGAAAGACTAAAAAAAAAGACCCCTAGTTTCTCTGCCCTAGCTACTCTATTAAAAGCTAAGCCAATCTGATTTCCATTTGTATCACTTCAGTGAAACAACCCTACTGAGTCCCCACAAGGCTACCAATGGACATTTCTCAGTTCTCATTTTCTCTCTCAGCAGCATCTGACAAGGTTGACACCTCCTCACTGGTGGAACTCCCTCTTTCCAGAGCAGTCTCTAGTTCTGTTCTTACCTCACTGGCCACTCCTTTTCAGTTGCCTCCTCCCCAACTACCTTTTAGAAGTTGGGAGCTCCTCAGGCTTACATCTAAACCAACTTCTCACTTTATATGCTCTTCCTAGGCAATCTTATCCACACCCATTTCCTCAATTACCATCTACACACCCATGTTTCTTAAATTTATGCCTAATACAAATAGTTAAGTTCCAGATCCCTTACACTTGGGTTATCAAAAAGGGGCCTCAAATTCAAGATGTCTCAAATGGTGGTATCTCTCCTTACCCTCCCCACAAACCCTGGCCCTCCTCCAGTACAACCCGTCTCAGGAAATCACCAGTAACATAATTCACAAACCGGGATCATTCTTGATACCCTTCTTGTCCTCAAGTTCTATTCGTTACATTTTCAATCAGATCTCAAATCTTCCATTTCTCCCATCTCCGCTACCATCCCTTACATGGGCTGCTACAACTGGTTTTCTCCACAATATGAGCAGAGCAGTCTACTGAAATATAGTTGATCACTGTTACCTGCATAAATTTCCTGAATGTCTCCTCTTGCATTTAGAATAAAAGCCAAATTCCTGGTCTCTAAAGTCATATTTAGTCTGTACCCTGCCACCTTCCCTCTCACCTCTGAGTTCCACCCAGACCAGTGTGCACCTAGTTCCTTGACTGGGCCACATGCCTTCCTGCCTCCAGGCTTTGATCCTCACTGCTCTTGGACCAACCCTTCTACCCACTTAACCTCTGCTCCTCCTGATAACTTCTGGCCCAATCAGTTTCACCTCAAGCATTCCCCCCTTTCCTTGAGCCTTCATTCTATTTCAGGCCACCCTGCTACATTTCTCGTCTCCCTGTACTTTTCCTTCAGTGCTTATAAAATCTGTATTATATAATAATGTAATTATTGGATATTTATCTCTAGAATAAAGTGCAATCTTCATAAGGTCAGGGTCCTGTCTGTTTTGCTTACTATTTAATTTCTAAAGTCTAGCCCAAAGCCTCACAAATAGTAGACACTCGCTAAATTTGCTGAATGTACATGTTACTGGGAGAATAGCCAAAAAATAAAAGTGAAAGAACTGAGCTACAACATCAGAGTAAGCAGAGTAAGTGCTCAATAAATGTCATTTCACCTTAATATCACTAACTTCCATTAACATTGCCCTTTAACCCTCAAAAGTTCTTTTCTTTTTTTAGAAAGAAGTTAAATAAATATACAGTTGACCCTTGAACAACATGCATTTGAACTGCATGAGTCATAAATTCTTAAAATATTTATATATAAAAACTTATATATGTAATTTATAAAAACGTAAAACAAATAAATGCATAAGTTCTTAAAATAAAAACATACTGGAAAATTTTTTGGAGATTTGTGACAATTCGAGAAAAACACCTTCTTTTCTCTTGTTTACTTTATTGGAAGAATACATTATATAAAACATATACAAACTGTGTTAATCAACTGGTTATGTCATTGGTAAGGTTGCAGGTTAATAGTAGGCTATTAGTAGTTAAGTTTTGGGGGAGTCAAAAGTTAAATATGGATTTGTGACTGCATGGGGGTCACTGACCCTAATGACCACACTGTTGAAGGGTCAGCTATTTATCCAAATAGATGAATTCCAGGCCTGAATGGTCACATCCCTAAGGAATTTTGACTATTCATTACTTTCTTTTCCTTTTACTTCCAACCTCAAAAGTTCCTATTTCTACAATTGTGGCAACAATAGGTGAGGGTAAGGGCAGAGACAAGGATAGAGTATATGGTGGCCCAAGTCAGCAACTACATGTTCCACCACTACTCCCCTGTAAGAGATACTGACTCAAAGTAAAATCCTACTACTTGGAAAGGCATCTTCAAGAATCACTTCTAGAAATTCCAATTCACTATGATGCTCTAAAATACTGATGCTCATTTAGGAGAGACTGTTTTCACAAAAGGATTCTCTTGAGACATGGGTAAGAAAGTGAAAGAAGAAGCTGAGTTTACTGAAGCACTATCTAGGGAAAGATGGTGTAGGTAACCGTCCACACCATTCCAGTGCTGCTGAGTATTAACAACACTTCCTCCAGTATGAGCAATCTAGCAGTGAAAAGCTAAGGGCTCCTAGAGAGAGTGAGGAACTGAATGAGGTGTTCTTCCCACTGTGAGCCCCAACAATACTGGCATTTGGATGAGATCAGATCACCTGCCCACTCTCTAAAGACCTAAAATGAAGCCTGCTAGATGATATGTCATACACCTAAAACAGTTTGTTAAATTAGCTTTCTCATTCAGGGGTAACCCACAAAAGGCATCTCTGTCAATCAGTCCTTCATGTTTAAATATTAGATAACCAGACTCTTGTAGAAAACCAGCAGCAGATCTTAAGATGAGGACCAAGAAAAATAATACTAACTCTAGAGAAAATAGAAATAAGAAGTTATAATTCTCAGAGGCTTCCTAAAGATATTGCAAATACAAAATAATAGCAGGTGGTTGTTAAAAATAGCCACTGAAGAACACTAAAAGTTTATAGAATTAAATGTGTTTAAGAGCTTAATAAATGTCTAAATGGAATTCTTGGAAATTAAAGCTATAATGGCCAATATTTTTTTAAAAAATGAATAGCAACACCAGAAAATGAATTAAGAAAATTCTCCATATAGCTTAGAAAAAAAATGGTGGAAACTATGAGAGAAAAGTTGAACAACTCAGAGAAGTGGTATTCAACATGGGGTGAGAGTGGGGGTAGGGGAGTGGAATGCACTCCATGCAATGCACAAAATGATCCTCTGGGATTCAAGAATAAAGTACCAAAGCTTCTAGATACAATATTTTTTGCACCTCATCCTTCAGGTCTATGTTAGGTAGATTTATAATATAAATAATTAGTACAGAGGTACAGATATACGATTTAAAAATAAGTACACATATACACATATCGTGGTACATGCATACTTTTTTTTTTTTAACAGATGATGACTACAGATCATATTTTGGATACCGTGGACATAAAGGACAAATCTAAATGACCAATATTTATCTAATAGGCATCTAAAAACAAAAAGGAAAGGAAAAATGAAAGGAAGGCAATAAATAAGAGAAGAAAAATTTCCCAGAACTGAAGAAAAGGTCCACTGAGTACCAAGCCAGATGGGGGTAGGGAAAGGACCCACACCTGGACAAATCCTTGAGAAATTAAAAATAAGGCCAAGATCCTAATTGCTTTCATGAAGGGAAAAACCACATTCCGACAAACACACAGAAACCAGACTGTCCTGAGAGTTTGCATTAGTAGCAAAGGATGCTAGGAAAAACTGCAGCAATGCCTTCATAGCTCTGAAAGAAAAGGATTTTGAAAACAGGCTTCTATTTTTTGATCAAACTAAAGTTCAAATGTGATGCAAAATAAGGTTTTCCCATCCTCCTCCTCCCCACCCCTACCAAAATTATCTACCATCTCTTTTACCTTGTATACCATTTCCTACCATTTATTTGTTTTTTCAACAATTTCACACAAACATTTATTGCATCTAAACATTTGGGTCATTGGTCTTTCATGCCCATAAGCATATATTTTGACGTGCCTGCCAAAATGTTTATATTCCCATCTGTTACAGAATAGGAATTTAAATGTACTCCTTCATATATGCAAAGGAACTACAGCAAAAGACAATCTGCAGAGCTGAGGCTTCTGATCTGCCACATCTCTACTTCTGCAGGTAGCCAAACTGTGCTATCAACACAAGACACTTATAAGCCATGATTCCATGGAAACCATGGTTGCTTTAGAAACAATTTAGCCCAAAGCACCCAATTGAATAAACAAATAGTAGTTATTAAACTTAATTATTAAAGTTTTTCCTACATATCTTAACTGCTTTAGTAAAGTATGCTATTTCCTGCAAAATCTCTTCTCTTTTTATTTAAAGAAACTTAGGTATGGTTCCCCAAATAAATACAGAAGAGTAGGAAAAAAAGGTGGTAACTTACTTCTGTATGAAGGTCTAAGGGTTTACGCAGAAATTATGATTCCATTAGATTGGAAATTATTATTCAATTATTCAAATTGACTAAAACTCTTCACTACTGCATGCTGTACAGTTCTGAATTTAGACTCAAGTTAACCTTCATAACACAAATGGGTTCCATTTGTTAGAAATTCTATAATTACCTACATCATTTAAAAAACGTTTTGAAAAAAATTAAAGACAGGTGTTTAGAGGGTTAATTCAGGAAAACCATGTTTTTCCAACTTTGCTTGATGCTATTTTTTCTTACCAAATGCCTGCAACAATGAGTTAAACCTTAAAGTGTCTAAGGACACTAGAACACAACTATGAGTATAAAGTCAAAAATAATCTCATTAAAATGCATATAGTAACCCAAAAAATAAAAAGGCTCCTATGATTTTTCTATTTAGGATTAAACCATGCCAGGTTTGACTCACTACTTCGCATTCAAAAGTCTCCCTCCCTAAACACTGCAAAGCTACTATTATAAGAGGTATCTCTGGTCACCAACTCTGACACCATATGCGTCACTGCTCCAGTTCTGACTCCAAAGTATGTTCACTCAGAGGACTAGGGAAAGAAAAGAGGCAGAATCCCCTTCATCTCGGGATTAGGACGATACCCACGCCTGGCGTGGAGGTAGAAGAAAAAGATAGAATTAAGAGAGCCACGGAAAGAGTAACACAAGGATACAGCCAGAGACTGGGGAGGGTAGAAAGAGAAGCAATCGGAGACAGAAATAACAATGAGGACAGAAAGGTGAAAGGGGCAGGAACAAAAGGACAACAGAGACAGGCACAGAAATGAAAAGCGCCCGGAATCTTCGAGTGGCATAGGAACAGGGACAAGGGGCAGTACTGGAGCCCGCACCTCAGGTAAGCCCAGTCGGGGCTCCTGTTATTACGGGTCCTCAAAAATACCAAGGAATCCTCCTACCGCCCTCCGCCTGACCTGAGAGTTATGTGTGCATTCTGGAGATAGTGATGATGGGGCAGCCCGTTTTTCGGAGGCCCCAGAAATAACGGGGCCGGTCGAGCATGCACTTACCAGGCCACGGCGGTCCGGCATAGTCGCCACATTCTGCCGGCGAGGAGGTCACACAGGGGCGGAGACCGCCACGCGGGAACTTCGGTGTCAGCCTCAGTCCAGCTCTTCTGCAGAAATGACCCAAGAAGAGGCCCTCGGCAACAAGGGCACACAGCAGCCACTGCGGCCCTCCCAGTGGCTCATGGACTTCCGGGAGAGCCCGCCAGGCACCCGTACTCGGTCCGTCGGGAAAACAACCACCCGCCAACCCTTCCTAGCAGGGCAGCACAAACGGTCCGCGAAGAACTAGTGAGTGCGCTCCTCCCACTTCCTCGCACAGCGCTCTGTTTCCGGGTAGGCTTTCGAAATGAGCATGTCCCAGTTTAAAGACTTGGAGACAGGGTGGTTTGAGAGGTGGGCTGGGACTGGGTGAGGAGTGTGAAATACCGAATGATAAATTCTCACTTGGTGGCTACGAATTTAGGGAAATTTAGGTGTTGAGGGAGCATGGAAGACCCAAGCGAGTACAAAATGCGTGCAGTAATGGAGCAATAGAATGATAAAAACCAAAGGTTGCCCCGTTGCCCCACTTTTGTTCAGCGTCTTTGTTTACAAAGCACTTTAATACTCTTAGAACAATCCTGAGAGGCAGCAGGAGAAGTCATGGACAGGGTAAGTGCTTTAGAATCTCTGAAGATCAGATATGAGAGGGCCTCGAGGAGATTAGGCCAGTTATGGGTTTGGAATAAGCTTGTGCGTATATGAAGACATCAAAAGTGATTCCGTTCATTCATTCCTTAACCGGCTTTCATCTTTGAATCTCACTAACTTGGTGAAAGGGCTCGTGTTAAGGTCTTCAACAATCCCATATTGCCCGTGGTCACTGGACCTCTCAGCATTCCGCTCAGTGTTGGGGGCTCAGCACTTTTTCGTTGGCTTCCCTGTCTTGGCTTTCAGTACATCACATTCTCTTTTTTTCTCCAGGGGCTGCTGTTCCTCAGTCTTCTTTGCTGGCTCCTCCTCTCCCAGACCTTTCAACGTTGGAGGGTTCCAGATATCAGAGATTCTGGGCCTCTTCCCTCCTGTATCTTCATTCTCTCCCTAGGTAATCTAAGTCAGTTCTGTGACTTTAAATACCCTTTTTCCTACTAATCCTTATCATTTTGTTTTGTGAGGAAACTGGGTCTCATAAAGGGGATGTGGCCTGTGAAAGGTAATGAAGTCCATTAGCGGCCAGAACCATAATCAAAGGCCCCTGTGCCCCTTCTTCACTTAAAGGGCACCACTCCCGCACATGCAAAGCATAAATAAAAACTCTTTTAATCATCAGCATCGTAAGTTTGTATCTAACCATTCACAACAACACTAGTATAGACCCAGCCATTGTAAACTTGTAAACTTCCCAAATACAGAACTCAGGGAATTTTATTGTATTTACTGCTGTGACTGTTTTAATGGCAGGTCCAGATAGAAAGTTGCTCTACTGACCTGTATACAAACTATGCAAACTAGCTCTTTCCAGAATTGTAGAGTTGTGCAAAAATTCCATTGTTATTGTTGCTTTCCAGTTGTTTGAAGAAGAAGAAAAACTGTATAATAGCAATCCCTTTCATTTTTGGGTCATCTTTACATTTTTCAAAGCCATTGTTTTTCAGTTTCACTTCCAGGCATTTAGCCTACGAATCATTCCCAGTGTGTAAAGATGTATGCATGATGTTTATTTCTGCATTGCATGAAATAGCAAAAGATTGGCATCAATAATGTTAAAAATTAAAAGATAAACTAAAGCATATTTCAAATTTTAAGTTTATCTGATCAAAAATTGGTTAGAATCAATCAGTGTCAAGCCAGAAGTGGTTAGGAGTCCTCTGTAAGCAGAAGCTAGGAGCACTACTTTTATAGAGAAGACATGGAAACAAAGCAAGGAAATTGGCTGTAGCTTAAATGGTTGCCTTCTTTGCAAAAGTCTAGTTGGTTGTTTAGTTTAGCTAGGTTGTTTTAGGTATTGATTTATTAACCTTGAGGCATTTAAAGCCTCAGGTTTTTGGTTTGCTTAGTACACTGCCTAGGCATTAGAACCATCTCAGTCGAATGGCCTCCTTGTTTACTTAATTTAACAGCATAAATATCCATAAATAGGAGCTTAATAAATTATATTCCTACTAGTTGTGAAAGCCTGTGAGTTAGATCTCTTTGTACTGATAAGGAGCAATCTCCAATATACAGGATCACATGAGAAAAAAAGGGCCAAATACTGTGGCAATCAAACTGCCAAATCATCCCAGTCCTGTTTTGTTTTCTTGTGTTGGCCTACAGTGTTTTATAAATAATATTAGATTTGTTGCCAATTTCACATTTAAAAATTCTGGCCTCTCTTAAAATATCAGAAGGTCTGATATCAAGCCTCTATTCTATGTGCAAAAAAAAATTAGTTTGAACAAGAAACCAAGTGGCGGTTCTCTCCTTCAGATATGCATGCTCTCTCCAGCAGTTTGCATTCCTTCCTAAAGTCTTTCTGAAATTGAAGAGTAATCAATTACTATTTATCATGAAGCTTGTTCTTTTATTTTCCTTAATAAAATCAAGAGGAAAAGGAACTAGTTAAATTAGATCAAAAGTAAAACAATGAAAGACTGAGAAGGTCAAGTGTTTCCAAAACAACAAAAGAGAGCTTTTTTTTCTTCAAAAGTGAAGAACATAACTATGCAAGTAAATTATGTGGTGTTGAAAGAATACAGTTTAAGATGACATTATACAACAAAGCACCTGCATTACTCATTCATCTTACATGCCTGACCCAGAAAGTATTTAAGTTGATGAACCTTGGTGAAAGGCAGTGTGATGTTATGATTTATAATTAGAAATGTGTGGTTTGTCTTTGACCCCCTTCCTGGGTCACAATTCCCCAATTTCCTAAGTGATTAGAAGAGGTATCTTTCGTTATGTTTGGTTTTTATCCTCCACATAGCTCCAAAATGATAAAGGTGAAAGGATGGCTTGTTATTCATAACAAGTCTCTTTCAAACAAACCTGAATTTATGTTAATAAGTTGATTTTTGGAAGACTCCTAAGGATGGGGCTAGATGCCAGAGGAACCAATCCTGTGATTAGAGGAGTGTATGTTTCAGCCCCACCCCACCATCTCCCCACCTCTGGAGAGGTGGGAGGGGCCAGAGGTCAAATTAATCATCAATGGCCAATGACTTCATCAATTATGCCTATGGAATGAAGCCTCCATAAAAACCCAAAAGGAGAGGGTTTGGAGAGCTTCCAGGTTTGTTAAAAAATGCATCCACATGCTAAGAGGAAGATGCACCCAAACTCCAAGGGGACAAAAATTCCCATTCCTGGGACCCTTCCAGAACTTTCCTTAGGGATCTCATCATCTGACTATTCATTCATATCTTTTCATATCCTTTGTAATACATTTGTACTGTAGTAAGCTATTTTCCTGAGTTCTTTGAACCACTCTAGTAGATTAATCAAACTCAAGGAAGGGGTCTACAAACCTTTGATTTATAGCCAGTGGTAACAACCTGGACCTGTAATTAGCATGTGAAGTGAGGGGGTTGGGGACCAGTCATGTGGGACTGAGCCCTTAACCTCTGGGATCTGATGTTACTTCCAAGTGGATAGTGTCAGGATTTAATTAAATTATAGGACCCCCAGCCAATATCTGGAGAATCTGAAAATTGCTTGTTGTAAGGGAACTACTCCTTCCCCACACATTCAGTGACTGTAAGTATCAGGAGTGCAGGAGAATATTCAGAGTACTGAGAACAGAAACAGGAAGACTGCTTTTCCTTTACAGGTAGGGTCTGGAGGGACTTGAAGATGGTGAGTCATGAGTGAAATAGACAATTTTATTTCAGTACAGTTGGTTAACAATTGTGTATTATTATGTAATAAGAACTATTATAGAAACTAAAATATTTGTATTTTTTCTTAGTTCTTTGTATTTAAATTTTTACAGTAGGAGCTTTTCCAAATTTCTAGCTGGGAGATGGCCAAGTTCCTTGACACAGCACTCTTCCTGGTTTCCAGGAGACGAAAACTTGCTAATCACATATATTTGCACTCTTATCATTATCAGATTCTTTCCACTCCTCAGAATAGCATGGCATAATCCTCAACAAGCATTTATAAATCATTCCCTATGAATCCTGGTCTGGGATATTAAAAAAAACAGTAAAACCCACTCTTTGCTCTCAAGTAACCATGGTCTGGTTAGGAAGAGAAACATATGAAAAATAAACAGTGTGAGGAAGTACATGCTGTAAGGGGTAGCAGTTGTGTTGCAGGGAGGAACTATCGCATAATAGTGGGCTTAAGAATGATAATTCTGGAAAAACGTAAAAGGGTTAATTTGTAAAGAGATAGCCTGAGAGTCAGAAAGACTAGATGAAGAGCTATTGAGAAAGTCAAGTTTAAGGGGTCTAAACTACACTATAGAGAGGAATAGAGGTGAGAGATCGAGAGGATATTTCTGAATATTTAAAGCAATAGAAAACTAAGTGCAGGAATTAGGGAGGCAATCAAATATGAGTGGGATTTCAAGTCATAATGAATCAATAGTGACAGTGGTAGTCACAGATGCAGGGGAGCTAATTTGGGGTGGAGATGATAATGCTGGCTTTGAATTGATTAATGCTGAGATACTAATGAGTTATCCAGGTGGAAAAATCTCTTTAGTTATTTAGAAATCTAGTCCTGAAATTCCAGAATGAGGTAAGGCTTACAGTATAGATTTGAGAGTTATCTTTATAAAAATGAAATTAAGTCATATTAATATTTATGAAACTGCAAGAATTTGAAATTGTTAATAAATGATTAAATCCTATTATTTTATAATGTTATATTTTAAGATGATATGTGTTACATGCAGTGCAGTAATGCAAGAAAAAGAAATGTAAAGCACAACATTTTCAAAGAACTTGATTATTTGCATTGAAAACCCTAAGAAATAAATTTAAAAAAAACACTGGAAATAATTCATGAGCTAAGGACAGTCTCAGAAAACAAGGCCAATATTTTTAAAAATTGTGTTTTTATATTCTTAAAAAAGAACCTGTGGAGATATCAGGTCATGATCTTTAGAATTTGTAAATGTTACCTCATTTGGAAAAATAGTCTTCATAGACGTTATTAACTTAAGGATCTTGAGATGGGGAGATTATTCTAGATGGGCCCTAAATTTTATTATATATATCCTTTTAAGAGGGAGAGTTTGCACATACTGAAGAGAAGGCAGTGTGAAGACACAGACAGAGATTGGAGTGACACAACTACACGCCAAGGAGTGCCAGTGACCACCAGAAGATGGAATAGTCAAGGAATGAATTCTCCTAGCCAGTGCAGTGTTAGGATTTTGCCATGGGGACTAGAGTAGATAGAAGGCTTTGCAGAAACAAAAGTTGGAGAGTAGAGATTCCTAGAGACCAGAAAGAGAAGAATGTTCTTCCTTAACTAGCCCTCCCACACCTGGGAGAAAGACCTCTGAGGGGTGTCAGCCCCTGAAAAGATTCCACCCACCTAAGCAGGATCAGAAACTACAGATACATCAGATTCAAAGGATGGTGAAGACTAGGAATCTGGGAGACTCCAGACGTAGCCTATGACCACTAATTATAAAGAACTATTTTCTATCACATGGTTACATCTGTTGTATCTTTATGATGGATATACTGTGTAATACTGTGCTATGTGTATCTCTTCCCAAATCTACCTTCAGTGACATTTTGCTGGTAGCTTGAAATTAGTTGTGGTGGCACAATTTACACCATAGACACCAGCAAATACTACCAGTCAGGGCTTGATTTATTATTTTCTTGATTGTTTAGTCTTAAGAAAATAATGGAAAAATGATAATACTGTCAGCTAAATTTAAAAATGTGTTGTGGTGATTCCTTTATGAATAGCATAAAAAATTGAGGAAATATTCTTCCAGTATTTAAAAACTATTACCTGATTTAGTAAAGAAGTCTTGCACATCATCTCAGATTATTTAAATTCTGACCTATGTCTTTGTTGTTTCACTTTTCTCTTATTAATATATAGAAAAATACCAACTGATACTTTCCATAAATATATGTTCAGCAGCATTCT